CTCTGCCTCTTTTGCCTGCCTCTCTGTCACCCACTGGACCTCCTCTCTCTTCCTCTCCAATCTCTCTTGCTGCTTCTTTCTCCATGCCTCTCAGGCCACATGGTCCACTCAGACCTTCTCCTCTCTCTCCCACTCTCTTTTCCACTCCAAGTGGATTTCTATAGCCTCCATATACTCTTCCTCTATAGTTTGCCATTCCAGATAGAATAATTCCTTGGTCTCTTCAGAGCCATTGAGAGTGGATTCTCTCACCACAGGCTTGAAAGTGCATGAGCAATAATACACAGTGAGAGGCAACATAGTTGCAAAAGTTTAGGCAATAGTGGTGGTATCTGATCAAGTTGCAAATTTTCTCATAGCCACCAACAATCTTCTATGTGGCTCCACCAGCCATCAGGATCTGCACTCTTGAGGGCAAGAACACTAATGGGAGATACTGTTATATGCATGCCACCAGTCTCTGTGTCACCTCAACCAACCACAGATTCAATCACCAAAACCCATTGGACTCCAGCTGCTTTTCATTATCTATTAATTTCATTTTCACTATTATCATTTCATATCTGTATTTCACATTGTAATATCTAGACCCTGAACTCAGTAGTGAATATTGACACTGGAACCCAATGGAACCTGACTCAGAATTAGCTATCATTAGTATATAAAGTCATGTATAATTGTTGTAACTACTCAGTTCAAATATCAACTTGGATAGCCATCTATACTTTATACTCACTTCAACTCCTCTCTATCTCATCCATCAGATTCTGCTCTGAAGGATACTCCTCTTCACTTCTCTGACAGAACTCCATTCTATCCATTCAAATTCTTAGGCCCTGACTCAAGAGTGACATTGCCAATAGCTTCATTGATGCCTATACACTCTGCCAGTCTCCACACATGCACTCAAATCCACTTGATTGGCATGTTCCTAACAGATGTGGAGTATGCTGTTGCATCCTAATATCAGAACATGCAGCTCTGAGATGAGACTGTGATTAGTGCAATGCTGATAGAAAAGTGAAATTGGATTGAAAATCTGATGGATATTTCAGAGGATCAATGTTTGAAAGGAGAGAGATGGTTGAGATCATTCTGTAAGGCATGGAAGATTCAGGAGATTTGATGGCATAGAGAAGCAGGCTCAGTGGATATAGTGGCAGTGAAAAAAGAACATGTGCATCTTCATAGCATTATAGTGAAATATGTGATGCAGGACAGATGGAATATTGATGAATTCAGTCTTGTCATCTTTGCCATCTCAGATTGTGTCTTGGTATCTGGTCTTATGAGTGGATAGAAACAGGACAAGTTTCATATCACCATGTGTTTTGCTGTGAATGTAGATAGGAGTGAGCAGATGCTAATTTTTTTCATTGGAAAGTCAAAGCAACCATGAAGTTTCAAGAAAAAGAGTCTGACAGCAATGGAATTCTATTATCAGAATAACAAGAAGGCCTGGATGATGAGTGAACTATTTATAGAGTGGGTGAAGATGTTTGATTTAAAGACAAAGAGAAAAATGTGGCAGGTTCTGCTGACCTTGGACAACTTTTGAGGGTATTCTATCACTTATACATCTATAACATGAAGCTGGAGTTCTTTGAGCCCAACATGATTCCATATATCCAGCCACTAGATGCTGGAGTATTATCTGCTCTTTCAAGGCATATTATTGGAATACCATGTGTATCTGTGCACTTGATCTTGATGATTTTGGAGAGTCTGAAATCTTGAAGCTTGATCTCCTTGAAGCTATGATTATTGCTCATGATGCTTATGCAAATATCAGCAGTGAAATGATAGAAAACTGCTGGAAACACACTGGTATAATGTCTGACAATGCACCTGAATCACAGTCCACCACACCATCCAATGATTTCTAAGACACCTCACTCCTCAAGTCTGCATGGAATCTTATTCATAACTTTGCCTCAACAGACAAATACATGCTTCCAGAGATTGAACAGGCATTGCAGAATCTGCTTGAAAACCAATATGCTGATGCTGACTGGTGTCCTACTCTTATGACTGTTATGAATGCAGAAAACAATGTTGGTAAAGCACTGGAGGCAGTCAATCAGTTGGCTTCTTTGTCACAGTCAAAAATAAACACACCTTCCACCCAAATTGCCCCCATTTAACAGCTCCAGACAGCAGAGATAATGTTGAATGACCACCTTGTTGAATTGAAACAACAAAATTGTATGTTTGGTCCCATTCTAACCATTGAAGAGATGGTTAACCCTATTGCAGAAGAGTATATTGAAGATCTTGAGGTGATGCCAACAGATGAGGAGATTGTTGCTGCTGTTAAGCATGATATTGCAGTAGAAAATAGGGAAATAACTGTCATTGACAATGATGAGAAGGAAGAGGAGGAAGAGGAGAGTGAGAAAGAACAGATCTTGATAACTACAAGAGAAGGATTTGAGCTTATTCAAAAGCTGGAGGCATTTTGTGTTTCACAAGGTGATCAGAGTGGATTAGTACCATAGCTGAGGAAGTTGAGAGGAGCATTATTCAAGGAGATGCATGGAAAGCTGACTCAAAAGCCACTGACAGCATGATGCCTCCAAATCATAGTGGTAAAGATGTGGATCATCATATTGTTCTTTAAGAAGGTCAACAGCCATGTAAGAGAGTGTACCCATGTAAGGGAGAGATGTGGCTTCATCATTAGAAAGTAATGACAAAAGGTCAAAGTCATTGAGGACTCCACAGATATTCCCTTTGCTATCTCTTTGATACATAATATTCACCATACTGATATCTTGATGAAGGATGTGAGGGTGATCATAAAGCCACTTGTGATCTGCAGTGAGTCAACATCATCACATCAGAAAGGGGAATCAGAGAAAAAATACAGGTGAAGCATACATCGAAGTATATCAACAAAGACCTGGGCACAGTCCTTGGCCTCTCAAAGACTCTTAATCAGGAACAGCTCTTTCAGGATGGGGATATAGAGAATACATTCTTTGTATGTTCCTTAGCCACCAATGAATTTGCCATCATGCAACAATTCAGCAATCATCTTCTGCACTGAATCATTGCTGTTGGGATTTTGCTGGAAAGTTCTAGAAAGGGCAATCCGGCATCATGCTGAGAGTTGATGAGTAAGCTCGAGAGAAAGAGAAAGTTGTAGTAAATTCTAGATATAAGCCTGGAGAGTATAAATACAAGCTCTGTAGGAGCTGTAGAATAAGAAGTTCATTCTATCTGGCCTTACCCACCTGGAGTCTACCCTGTGCAACACCCAGGATTTCCAACAATTGTCAAATGGGAAGTCTTGCTCATGAAGTATATAGGAGATAGCCTAGAACCCAGTGCCTCTGACTTTCACCAGCCAACTCATTGGATTTCATCTTGGTAATGTCAAGCAACAGTTTTTCTGACTTCTGCAGGATGTTTGGCCAACTTATTTTAATGACAAGACTCATGCCAGGCCACTCATCGCATGTCACACAGATGATGCATGCATCATGACCAGACCTTGCTGGCAGTAGATGGTTTTGCCCATTTCAAGTGTTAAAGGTTTTTCATTACTCTCAAGAGTTATAGTAAGTCCAGAGAAGAACCTCTCCTTATCTTTCGAATCCTTGCTGGCTACAGTATAAGGATCATCGAATATGATGAGATTTACCGAGGAAGTGTAAGACAGTGGCATTACAAGCAGGCAAGAAAAGGGCCTACTTTGTTCGCCAGGTCAATGGCCTGAGAAGAGATAACTGAGGAACGACCTCTGTCAATCAAAGTGCAGGGTGATTCTGATCTGATATTTTGTAGACCGTACCACGCACACTGGAAACGGCTCTTTACAGAGCTATGCGTAGACTGGTCTTTGTCAAGTTGAATCTTCATGGACTTGGTGGCCAATATAGCTGTCGAAGATGCCTCTGTAGATATCTGCAAGATCTTTGAGGCAGCTTGCTAACCAAATAGGTGTGAACAGAGCTAGGCCAAAAGAAAGACAGCATACCTCATTGCTGGAATTTCCCTACATTTTCGAATGCTGTGGCAATGGGTAAACAATTTCATGCCTTGGATGGCAGAGCCTGCTGAGGAAGAAGGCACGGAAGCGTCAGTTTTCCAGTTGAGCATGTACGTTTCTTCGTTTTCAGTTGTAGATTCATTGTCATGGGATTTGATAAGAGCAATTAATGAACAAGAGGGCCATGAAGTTGGAAACACACATCACCATTGGTCAACAGTTTAATTGTGTCAGTCTCATCATCTATGGCTCAGCGGTAGCCTTCATGTTTTTTATATTAACAATATGAAGCCAGCAAGTGAGAGCCGAAATTTTACGCATCTGTCACTTCACGTGATGAGTCACCGAGTTCAGTCGGAAGTCGTCTACTAATCTATTACAACATCCAGGACTCTAACGCGACTGTCCATCTTAATGTTGTCTTGACGTGCGACAATAGTATAAACCGATATGCTACAGCACATTTACGTATATGCATATTGCACAGCCATCATACACCACCGCCTGTCGCATTTCCGAATTGCATAGCATGGTCGCGCAAATGGTGCAAATTCTGATAGTCCACTGGTGATTGACATACAGCGTGAGCTCAGGCTGTGACTCCAATACTAAGCCCAGCCCTGTGCTTATGTGGGACCAAATTCTGTATTGTGAGTATAGAGTAGAGTAAGGTACAGAGGATTAGATTAGCCTCTCTCGAGAGACGTTCTACTTAAATACATTTTGTACTACTTCGAGATCTTTCTACGAAATACTAAATAAGTATGGATCATGGTCCAAGTCAGCTGCCACTGATTGACATAGCATCTTCGAGTACATTCTTGTACTCGCCCGCGATTGCTATCCCAACATTCTGCGACGGCTGGTTCTGCCCTGCAACCATGCCAGTAGCGAACTCTCGTGTCCGTATCGGTCAAGTAGGAGGGCTGCTGTAAGTCAAACCTCTGCATCAACTTTCACCACCACACCACCAACGATACTGTCTATACGTCTCACACTCGTACCAGATAAATCACTATTACTATTATTCACTGAGTAGAAGTTTGTAGTGTCAATAGTCTATCATCAGTGTGTTACAAGCGTAGTAACAATATCATGTAGCCTATCTATGAGGGCGTGACTGCTGGGGGTATATCTTTGTTCTTCAAAATGAGCTCTTCCCCGTTAAATACGTGCATGAATATCAAGAATGAGTGATATGTAATAAATCCACCGAGGGTTGCATCATCAAACGGTTCTTGGACACTCTCCTGCAGTGATTTCAGCTGGGAGGATGCGGAAACACCGAAAGTGAATTCCTCTGAGACAGTCACCAATGACACATTTACAAGTGCATCCTTCCAAGTCCGGCGGGCATTGATCCCTTTTGAAAAGGCACGGCGAATGGCTTCGAGCCAAGGACGAAAGTCATCGAAGCACGAAGAGACAGGAAGGGTGTCGGCACGGACGAAAAAAGAATCCTTGCTTTCCGCCAAGGCATCCCAAGAGACCCCACGGGCAAACCACCGGGAGAAAGGTTCGGATATTTCCTTCAGTTGAGACGTGCCACCGGGCTGAGGTTTTTCAATGATAGAGTGGCGACAGCATATCATCAACATGACATAGAATAGTGCCTCCAAATCATGGCGGTAAAGATGTGGGCTATCATTTCGTTCTTGAAGAAGGTCGAATGCCATGTAAGGCGGCGTACCCGTGCGACGAAGGGATGTGGCTTCCGTGATAGGAAGTAACGACGAGAGATCAAAGTCATTGAGGACTCCGCAGATATTCCCTTTGCTATCTCTTCGATACATAATATTCGCCATACTGATGTCTCGATGAAGGATGCCAGGGTGATCATAAAGCCACTTGTGACCTGCAACGAGTCAACGTCATCACGTCAGAAAGGGGAATCGGAGAAAAGATACAAGGAAAACGTACACTGAAGTATGTCAACAAACACCTGGGCATAGTCCTTGGCCTCTCGAAGACTCTTAATCGGGAACAGCTCTTCCATAACAGAAATACGGAGAACACGATCTTCGTATGTGCCCTCTCCACCGATGAACTCGCCATCGTGCAACACTTCCGCGATCATCTTCTGTGCCGAATCGTCGTCAAACGGGAAGTCTTGCTCATGAAGGATATTCGGGAGGTGATCCAGAACCCAGTGCCTCTTACCATCACCAGCTTTCTTGTCGGCTTCCGCCTTCGCCTTGTCAACCAAAGCCTTTTCCGACTTCCGCGAGGTGCTCAGCCAACTGATCTTCACAACCAATTTCATTCCAGGCCATTCATTGCATGTCGCAGCAACAACACACGAATCGCGTCCAATGAGGCCTCGCTGGCGATAGATCGTTCTGCCCAGGTTAACCTCGATAGTCTTGCCATTTCTCTGAAGAGTCGTCAAGAGCCCGGAGAACAGCTTCTTAGGATCGTTCGAAACGGTATTGAACCGATTGAAGTTAGTAATGTACGGGTCTTCGATGATATGATGCAAGATACCACGCTGTTTGAGCGTAAGACGGTGACATCCTATCAGCATCGCGACGAAAAGCATCTCATCATCTTTCTCCCCGAGATCGATGGCTTGAGAAACAATGATTGCAGATCGATCGTAGTAAGAGAGCTGGACGCGGTCGCAGTCAATGAGAGTCACGAGAGCGTGGGATCTCAGCCCGGCGTTCGAAAGTATCTGCAGAGCATAGCGTGCACACTGGATGCGGGCCTTTTCTGCCCGATCAGTTCCTGAAGGGAAGCTGTCATCATCAAAGGCCCTCTGGGCCCTGGACGACGCTGTTTTAGATGTTCGGGCGAATTTTGAAGATCGCTAATATATGACATTAGTGAGCAGTGAGCGTGAAAGATTGGGAAAGGATACACACACCTCGTTTTCGGTGTCTGCTTTGCGTTTTCGACCCTTTGAACCTCCCTGAGAGGCCTCCCCTTCTTGTGTAGAGGATGCACCAGAAGATTCAGCAGGTTTCGGTTCGTCCTTTTTATCCTTGCGATTTTTCTTCGGTCTCGTCGTCATAGGATCCTTGCCATCTGACATAAACAATCAGGACACAAGACAGAAGCTGGACGAAAAAATGTATTACCTTTGGTCAATAGTCTGATCGCACCAACACCCTCGTCAATCGTATCATCTGTGGCTTTCATCTCTTTCACCTCAATGACATGAGGCCACCCAGGCACAAACCGCGACGGACATCTTTTGTCTCGGCCAAACTTTTTGATACGATCTCGAGCCTCCTGGCAGTCGGGCAGCTTAAATATGGTACGCAGCATGCCCACGATGTCGGGGCGAACCGCGTCGTTTGACCCCCGCACAGAATAAGGGTCCATACGGAAAAACTCTATGTTATCGTCATTCGAAACCTCAGTGCCGGATTGCATCTGAGCCACGTCAATGACACGATTGCATAGGTCTGCGTGAGGACAATACAGGCGCCTCTCCTTCTCGTAACCTGTTCCGACCTCATTGCATAGATTTAGGTAACCCCAAAGTAAACCTTTGAAATCTGGGTCATCCTGGACAGCATCGATGACGGACTTGAAAGAGACACGCCAGTCATCGGGAAGATGTAGAATTTTGACGAGAAAGGTCTCGAACTCGATAAAGATGCGACGGCGAAGGTCCTCTCTGAGGTAGGCATCCATTTCAGTAACATTATGGTCATGGCCATCCACCGTCTGCAACTCTATTATGGAGTGGCTGGCCGTTCCATGGCCGTACGGCGTATTCTGCAGTTGGGGTCTGGGCCTCGCCTTTGCCTTCCGCTGCTGTGAGGATCCAGCTACAGGAAGCACATCGTTGTCGTCAGAGGTGAGGCTGCCGTTGTTGGGAGGAGTGGTGGGCACCGGCTCCAGTGATGACGAGCGATTGTCGCGATATTGTAGCGCCTCCATTCGACGTCGCGCCGCGCGTTTGGAGGCCAGCAAACGCGTAGTCTTTCTCGCGTAGGATGGTGGGGGGGCTCCGATAAACATTACGATAGCCATGGCAGTTAATATATGGAAAACGGAGCCGGAGAACAATGGCAACACTGACAGAGTGGCGGGATTTCAACCTGCGCTCATCCACGTGATCGGCGGCATTGTTTCTAACTCACGAGTCCCCATTTGGCATTCAACGCCAGCATTCCTTGCAACTTGCTCTTACTATTGCTCCAGTCTGGACAATGCACCCCTCGATAATTACTGAGTACTGAGGGCACTCCTTGTAAGTTCCCCTCCCGTTTTTTTCTGTACTTGTCATAATTTGATTCAAGAATTCGCTTCGTGTCACCGCCGCCCAGGGCAGCGTTTCTTGTTCTGCGGGTTTGCCGCCTAGTATGGCAATTTGCTTCAAGTTTATATGCGACATCTCGCCCCATGTCGACTCGGCTCGCTCGGCTGTCGAGGAAATATTGGTCATGGTGGATAATCGATGTAGCGTCGACACACTACACGATGAACCACGTCGATAGCAGTTGCCTTCGCGACGCAGATCTTTTTTGGCTATGCCTTCATTTTATGTCTTTATTGTCGGCTGCAGACAGTACCTAAGTAGTATATAATATGAGGAATGATACACAGATAGTAATTTGCGGTGGTAACGGTGGTGGTAAACGGTAACTTGTAACCAAAATCCCGATTGAAATGACACTGCAAAGATGCCATTAAAGAACTACCGGATAAATGACCTCCCTTGAGCGAAGAGCTGATACATATTGCGATACAGCAAACATAATTCTTCGCATGCTGATACACTTCTTGAACCTCACCTTTGAATAATCGTCCACGATCTCCAAGTCTCGGGATCTTAAATCGTGCTTGGGGAGGTCCACCACTCCAGGCTGCCAGTGAGCAGCCCTACCATCCGAAAAAAATTTCGGAAATATTGTAAAGATAGCATTGTCTCGAGAAGAATGTAGCCACGATCGTTTTGAGTCTTGGCATTTGATATGCAGGGAACGCCTGCACCTGCGCAGTCAGAATATAACGTTATGGAGAAGCCACGCGTCCGACAGAATGAGAATGACATAAGTTAGCACAAGCACGCGCAGGCGAAGTTCATTACTCACCAATTGTCTGCAAACATTTACCTAATTCTGATCATTAGATCCAACAACACTCGTCCGAAAGGCTACTTAGCAAACATTGTGACATGTGAGGCCTTGAGGAATCGTTACTAGACGGGCAAAAAATATGAGAAAGAGAAGAAAGCCATATCCTCATCACCAAAGTAGTACAAAATGACAATGGAGACCTAAGTGTAATTGATGTATTGTATATGCGAGACAGGTAGCAGAAACAGAAATCCACTTCCGACATTAACTTCTATCCTATTCTCACTCGCTCGTCGCTTAGAAGCACTCTGAAAAAAAAGGGATCAGGACGTGGTCCGTCATAGAGGAGCATAGGCAACTTACTGCGGTGAACGATACCCGGGCCACTCTCGTTATACTCCTGCTTTGAGCACCACAAGTTCTGGAACGTAGAAAGCGAAGCAAGAATAGATCCACCAATCCAGACGGAGTATTTACGTTCAGGAGGAGCGACGATCTTGACCTGAACAAGACATCAAATCAGCAATTGACTATGCACCAACATTGTCACTAACCTTCATGCTGGAAGGAGAGAGAGACGTCAACTCCTTCTGCATGCGGTCAGCAATACCAGGGAACATCGTTGTACCACCGGAGAGGACGACGTTTCCATAAAGGGCACGACGACTATCAAGGTCACACTTGAAGATGGTGTTGTATCTGCATTTGTCAATGAGCGACAACAGCATTAGGAAGAGGAAGTAACTACATACGTTATCTCATGATTACCAGCGTCTTCCAATCCCAAGAACGCCGGTTGGAACAAGGCCTCTGGAGCACAGAATCTACCAAAAATATCAGTTACGCGTATACCGTGATAGTGCGAGGTGAACCCACCGTTCGTTACCCATGGTGATGACCTGTTCATCTGGAAATTTGTAAGCCTTCTCCACGGCACTGCTCTGTGCAGCCGTTTGCAGCTCCTGCTCGAAGTCAAAAGCGACGTAGCACAGCTTCTCCTTGATGTCCCGGACAATCTCCCGTTCAGCCGTGGTGGTGAAGGGGTATCCACGCTCCACCAAGTTCTTGATCAGGTACTCCATCAAATCATGACCAGCAAGATCAAGACGGAGGATAGCGTGAGGAAGGGGGGGAAGGGATCTGGTCAGTTCCTGCCGAGCTCGATATTACTGAGACATGGCGCATCGCTGAACATGTAATATATATCGACATTGTGGGAGAGCCTACCAGAAGTTCTGGTTCATCTGCTCGAGAATAGGAAGGTAGCCTTCAATCTTCAAATAATGCTGAAAGAAGATCTTGGGTGCATGAAACGTGAAAAATCTCCAATGGAAAGACTGCGAGACGACCTGGACAGAGGGGTTTTTCGAAAATCGATATATACGTGAAGATGCATGTTTCATGAGCTCCGAAAATGCTCCAGAAGGACAACTTGCGCTCATATTCGTGACCCAGCGGAGGACAAGAAAGTCCTGTTGAAAATCACTGCAGCCCATAATGCCTTGGAGGATAACGTGACTGCCTTTCATTTCGGCAGACGCATGCAAAGAGCCAAGGATCGCCATGAAAGTTGCTACAGCTCTTGCCTTCGGCGCTGCAGATTACAATTTCTAGAAGAATCTCTGGCGGTAAACGCCGCAAAGACAGAGGAGGGATTGCAACAAGCGGACGACAGCCTTTTGTATCTTTTCGACTCGACTACTGGGTTCAGAAACTCCCAGTCTTCCTTGCGCTGCTTTCAGTTCTTCTCTCTTGTCTTGATGTATTCGTTCGGTAGGTCATTGGTGTGACAGATACAAAAAGGGCCTTTTCCTGTCCACAAATATTTGCCTAGATATCTAATAAGTTCAGAATAAGATAGATATTAGATCTACTCTCACAGATATACGTTCGTATGGCCTAGAGAAGATAGGAAGAAGCTGGCGAACAAGGATCGAAATGAGCTGATTCGTGAGAATGTTGACTTCGGTAAGCCATTCCGATCATCCGACCAGTGGCCACTCTTTCAGCAGGTTATACTGCAACTGGCTCCCTCTTGTAATTATCTCATGGCGGAATACACCGCCGATTAGAGAAATGGATGTCGGCGTTCGGCAGCTCCCTCGCTTTCCTTTCTGTGACAGAGGCTGATGTATTTTTCCTCAGTGGGGACCTTTGCTAATGATGCAACTCTTATGCTCACAACAGTCAATTTATACCGTTCATGCAGGAAGTGCATATATTTTCTGGTCCACATTCAGTTTGTGTCTCGACTCTGAATTAACTTACCATTGAACAGTATGACGTAGACCAAACTTACCTTTGCCCGCTGACTACGGATAGACTGATATCTTTCAGACCGCACGAAGGACTCTTTACAGACGCTGAGTACGTTCCTTCGATTTCTTGATGGTCGCTTTGAATAAATGGTCGCCAAAATCAGCATACCGGTTGTATTCTACAACCAAATTGGACTTCGCCAGTACCCCGACTCACCGGCCGAGTTCTGGACCGTCAATCTTTTCAAGGACGAAGTTGATAACCTGCTCGAGTATCTCGGGATCAGAGACAACTTCGACCTTCTCGGGCATTCATGGGGAGGTGCGTAGTGAAATGGACCTTTGAATCAGAAGCATACTGATAGCACGCTCTACAGGCATCTTTGGTAGCGACTACGCTTCGAACCGTATGCACCCAGGATTAAAGCATCTGATCCTTGCCAATACGTTCTGTTCGTCCAAGCTCTACCTTCAAGGCGGAGAGTATTGGAGAGATCATCTTCCCGATGGGCTCGGCGAAGTGATCAAAAAGCACGAGGCTGAAGGAACCACAGATTCTCAGGAATATAAAGACGCACTGGTCGTTTATCGGAACACGCACCTCTGCACATTGACTCCCTTGCCGGAAAAACTCCTCCAATCGATAGGGAATGCCAAAGGCAACAGTGAGTGTTCCAGCAGGTAATGTAGCGTAGCCGGCTGAGTATGCAGGGCATCCCGAGTTTGCCATGAGCAAGAGGCTGAAAGATTGGAGTGTCATCGACCTCCTGCAAAACGTTGCTTGTCCGACGCTTCTCATTAGCGCGCCGGAGGATGATATGTGGGAGCCGGCCGGACGGCCGTTCTTCCTGAATATTCCAAAATGTAAATGGGTCGAGTTGCAGAATAGTACGCACGTACCGATGTATGAGGAACCAGATAAGTAAGCTTGCTCGCCTCCACACCATCCCGTGCGCTTGGCTCATTGCGATATCAACTACTTTAAGATCCTCATTGATTTCTTGTCTAATGTTGACTCATACTAGAGAACTGTGCGCTGCGCTGAGGACCACATCTTATCACTATGAAACGAGGAACTGTGTCAGCGCTTCAGGAAGAATCATGATTTTTCATGTGTTCCTCGCTTCTTGCATCCCATGCAGTCTAGTTGGGCTCTCCATATGCTTCAAGTACGCAAAAACGAGAACTGTGCGTCAAGCGGGACGAAAAGGTTAGCATTCCCCATAGATCTCCGAGTCTTCCTCCATCGGTCTATAGTGTCCTTCTCGCATTTGCCACAACATGATTTTGAGACTGCCCGGGAGTTTCGGTTTATCTTGCGGCCTACAAGCCCCTTGAAACGACAACACCAATGGATTTTCACCCAACTCGCCACCTTTGGTCCACGTTGGGATGAGTTCTGTCACTGTGAAGAACCCCATCTACGTCTCTAAAGTGCTCAAAGCTGTCATTCGAATTTACTATTGCCATGGTCGTAAAAGACTGTCACCCGATGTTAGTCCAGGTCATCCGCTTTCTCACTCTCTTCGAATTGACAGCACCGTTTCGGCCGTAGTCAGCATACTTCATATCCGTACTCGGTACTTTGCAAGTACTGAATCATACAATTCCTGGACAAGGGGTGGTCGAATCTGCAGAACAGACCGAGAGACCATCATTGTTTCATCCCCGATTCCATAGTAATAGCCTGTATGCTTACATCCGTCATTTCGGTTTTGAGAAAAGATTCTGGGCCTTGGGGCAAAGATGTTGTTCATACCCTTGGTAGGATCGAAAGGTAGATGTTTACCTCCTGCAAGTAGAGGACTTGGGGTGGCGCGGCGGCTCCCGAGGCATAGTTTCAACGTTTTCCCAAGTTTTGATGATCCACTCCTTACTCTCAGGCCGTTGCCATGCAATGGAAGGGTCCGTTTCAGATGCCTACCACCGCTCGAGGAATGAAAACGAGACGTCCCTGTACCAAAGGAGGTAAAATTTGGTTTGTCCGCTGCCGCGGACCTCTGTTGCGGCATTGACGCACAATAATTCCCGGAGAATAAGAGGTGCCCTACCTCCTTCTCAGCTCGTCATCTCAACAATACATCTGTTTCCACTATTGATGGACCATGCGCCCCACCGACTCTCGTGATTATGGATCATGTTTCCGTGCAAAGTAGTACAAGGTGGTCTCATACACAGGCGCCTTTTGCGAGCGTATAAATGTGACCATTTCTTGCATGATGACAGCAAACACATCCCACAGACGCTCCCTTCTCCACTTTCATTCCTTACATTTATACCACCTCACTTCACTCATACCATGATGTTCTTCGCGAGAATCCTCACCTTCTTTTCTGTTACTGCGCTTCTCTCTGCTGCCCTTCCTTTGGTCCCCAGGGCCAATGTTGGAGAAGGTGGGAGGCTTGGCACCTTTTCCTGGGTATCGTCACTCACCTATCGACTTACTTAGGTACCTGGTACGAGCCGGGACTAGGATCTTGTGGTATAACCAACGTTGCCACGGACATGATTGTAGCGGTCTCGTACCTGCTGTACGACTCGTATCCGTACGTCTTCCCCTCCAACACCTTTCCTTGCTATGGCTGATACCGCAAACAAGTGGTGCTACCGCGAATCCCAACCTGTACGAATCTAATTCCTAACTCGTTTGATCTCTGTCAACTCACGCCGCTGTGTACTAGGAACCCGATTTGCGGTAAGGAATTGGTTGCGACCTGTACGTATTTCTTTCCTGCTAACTGGCATGCCTCAATCTCAATGGATCGGTTTTTTGTAGACGGAGGAAAGTCGGTCACCGTTACCGTCACGGACAAATGCATGGGATGTGCTGGGAAATATGATCTGGACTTTACTCCCACTGCATTCTCGAAACTTGCTAGTACCGACGTTGGGCGTCTCACCGGAGTCGATTGGCAATGGGCTTGAGAAGGGACGGTGATGCTGATTTACAAGGACATTGCCCTACCTCACCATATACCATCCAGTCGAATCTATTATTAGATCGATAGCTCTTATACTATATAGGAAATTGCACTGGCTTGCGAATCTATGTATGTCTACCATTATATTTATTTAACATTCCTTACCGTTTTGACGAAGAACAATGAGACTTGAGTAAACCCGACTCCACACAAGTCAAGAAATGGCCACCAAAAATATATGCGAAGCTTCTCTTTCGACCAAAGAATAAAGATCAACTTTTATTTAACGGTTAATCATACCGAATGAGCAGGAGAAGTCTATGCCCAAACGTACATACAAGATCTTGGGGCTTGGCACAAAGTAATAACCCATGTAAAGTTCAAGTGGTCGGTATGGCCATCAAAATCCTCGCAGTGAAAATGTCCACACCTGGTGCTGGATTTCTTGGAATGATCATCGTCCTTCCTGGAATAGCCTTGACTAGCACCTGAGCGTAGCATCGCCGATCCAGCACTCTATGATTAATTAGATATCATTAGTCCACCGTCAAGATGATTTTGAAACCACCCGCCGAGCAGGACATGCCAGTGAAAAGACTGAACTTTGAAGAACGGCAACTCGTCTGTCATATCGGTGGAGTTGGACAATACAAGGCTTGCACGAAAATGTGGCAACACCACCTTGTATGATTTTTATGACCAAAAATAGTATTGTCAAATGGATGAAAGAAAGAAACGTTTTGGTCCGGGGTTTAATAATGGAATCTATTCTGCCGTTCCTGCATCCTCTAGAGATCTGTTGTGAATGTCAGATATAGATAGACAAAAGGAAATACCGACAACGTCTGGGGTCTTCAAGTTATCCATGACCATTCTACCCGCCAAGTTGAAACCAACAGGATGTCTTCATCTAACGCTGTAAGCCTGCCTCACGTAGTAGAGCAAACACAAATATTGGTTGTTCGATGCCTGATATCACCTGACGAAGGTATGTAAACAAAGTAAGACTGAGGATGAGTGACTACAGTTCAAATATAAATCGGAGCGGTAAGCATAGTGATCAAGTTTGAGAAGGATCAAATCAAGACGAGCGAAAAAAAACTGAGTAGTGGCAGGAAAAAGTGATAGGAGGAGAAGTCTTGAATAACTGAAACTCGATGCTTCAATAACATCTGATTCTTTAAAAAAAACAGAAATCCATCACCACTTCATGACGACAAGCATATAACTCCACACCACCACAGTGCTTCCAAACACTGTGTTAGATGGCAGATAAAATAAACGAGAAAATGGTATAGCGATAGGCAGACTGAACACGGAAAAGGAGAAGTAGCTTGATGCTTGAACATCCGAAAACGACATCAATGAATAGGTAGCTTCAAGTTCAAAGGTTTGGGATGGGTTGACGGATATGCACATTCAATTTCTGGGGCACGTCAGAATTCTAATGACGTTGATATATATTTTCAAAGACTCACCATCCGTGGTAGTATCAGAGCTCGTCCTTATAATCGCTATCTCCGTATTGGCCACGGTCGCCCTTTCCCCGGTACCGGTCGTGAAGCTGCCTGAGCACCAATATCTGACTTCGTTCCTCAACGTGATTGATAGACATCCAGTGAGTCTCCACGGGTTGGACGCCCCATGTAGCAAATAACTGAAGAGCTGTTATGCCGGTGCCCGTCCTTCCATAACTATATCCACAATGCACAGGCGTGGATGCATTGGGCATGAACCTATGGAAATCAATGGCCTGATAAATAGTGGGAGATTGATGGTCCTGGAGGGAAAAGTGGTGGTAGGTGACGTTAGCTTTGGCCAGCAGGACTATCTCGTTATGGATGTATGGATACTGGTTAAAACTGATGATGGTGTTGATGTGGCAATTGGCAAGGAAGTTCACTGCAGTCTCCGTAAGCCTCTGAGAGCCATCATTGTGGCTGTCATAATTGGAAGCAGAGGAACGGTTGAGTCGACGACCAGGGAGGACATGCTGGGTAATCCGGTAGAACCGATGCCGTTCGTTGCTCACGCTTATTGGAGCATAGGAATGCAGGGCGGTTTGGAGACAGACCTGAGTACGTTGGAATGCGTCGCAGATGGATAAAATGTAAAAAAAAAAATTTCTGTGTCCTGTAAGGAACTCGTGTCTAGCCAAGTATGGATCAAAAGGAATCAAGTCTGTCGACGTGGGCAATGGCTCAAAGAGATGATATGATAGTCAGTGGCACACATTTTCGATTGATGACTGCCGGTCCACATTATGCCAGCGTCATTGACAATAGCCATAGATATAGGGAAGAGAAAAAGAAGTTAGTTATTTGAAGATGAAGATCCCTTTATCAAGAAACCTAAGCTACTACTAGTGTCAAATCAAATCAGGAAAACGCAGTTTCGGCTCCGTATGATTTCAAACTCGTGGCGCAAAGATCGATACCACGTGATCGTGGAATCACTTCTAGTTTTCAGGCATATCCGGGAGAAGCAATAATATACCTCGACATTGAGCGGCCTTAGTGAGTGGTATCAATCATTTCACTCCTTCCTTATAACATAGGAGACTGGTGCAATTGGGGTTCGGCCGGTGCGAACGCCGACATGACGGCAAGTTCGTTCTATCCAAGTTCTATCTCCCAAAACTTCGAGGCGTCTTCCTTGCTATGGAAGGCGGGCTCTCACCATCCCCATGTCCTCGTTATGGCACTAATTCAGAGCCTGAAGAGTTGAAATAACTGAGTTCTCTTCGCGCCAAGGCAGTATCCGACATACGTTTCGCCAGTAAAGACTTCGACAACAGCACCCCTTGCCTTTAGCTGCCCCCATCTACATGCTGTGTCCTGTCTGATGACCATCAACAGCGATTCCGTATCGCAGATGAATGAATCTATGGTTCTTTCATCTCTGGGACCTGGATCTCATCATCTTTTAACTCAGTTTTATTACTTTTGATTGATTCGACTTATACTAACGATTCTCTTGACAGATCTGCTTTCTACCTTAGCAACTGGGACATACATACTCTATATAGGTCCTTGGGGTCGCAAGCTGGGCACATATCGCGGTCGAAGTGCTTTCGATTCAGATTCAGAAGGCCGGCCGTTTGGGCATTAAACCCTTAGGAATCGGTGACGTTCGTTTTGGCTTGGCCTCCCAGTAGTTTACTAAAGTCTGGTCACGAACGAGAATTCCTTGCTCTATGGATGCCCGTTGCCTTCTGAAAACCAACTCTATCGTTGGTCCAACTGACCTCTTACTAAAGATGCATGTTTTATCGATCGGTCAGACATAATGCTGAAGCCGCGTTCGTGTGCGATAGAACTATTGTCCTTTGACGACGAGCATACTGCGGCTCTAATCCAATGCCCATGGGCATCATTCGGCGTGGCGCCTTTCTGGCCGCTTTAATATTTCGTAAACATCATTGTCGATTTCCGTCATTTAACCGTGTGTCTTGACATACGACTCATCGTTCACGTACCCTGCTAAACTCCGCACTCATGACTCTTAATATTTATTTTCCAGGTGCAAGTGGTCACTAATTATAAGTCAAAGTTGCTTCGAATTCTCTCTCGGCGTTTAGCTCCACGCTTGACGTGGGTGAAACCTGATACGGGTGCTCCCAGACTATGTCTTGTACTGAGAGACGAGACTGAACTGAGATCTTTGTGCGACTGTTCTCTGCAGGGCCTCCGGCTAATGGAAACTAACATGGATGTGTGGGTCTCACTTTGTCTGAAAGGTCTACTACGGTGCCAACACCCAAATTTTGGCAGGCACACTTGCTTTATGGATAAGTTAATACGTCTCAGAAAAATGTTGCCATTACGCTCGACAGGCAACGTTACCGTGTGCAGTCCATATCAGTCTCCCACCAAATTAATGCCTCGAGGCCGACAGTACCGCACATTGACTCGCTTCGCGTTAGCGAGCAAGGGAATCTTCTGGGGACAGAGAAGCCTTTTTACTTTCTCAGTAGCAGCTCTGAAACTCTCTTTCCTGCGGATGTTTCGGAGAGACGGGGGCCGGACGGCACGCAGTAAAGGCGCATGGAGGCGCACCAAGGCGGCCTATCTAATCCCGCCGAGCTCCGAAATTCCGGTGTCGGAACCCTTCCATTCATTGTCTTATCTTTCCGGAATATAGACAGTTTCAATAAATCATGAACTTCTTACATATTCTGGGCTGTTGCAGTGGGAGAAAGAGGATTTTAACCCAATTTGGATGGACAATTTTCGGTGATCTGGCCGAAAAAGGAGCGCAGAAACATCGGGGTACCTGCTATTACGGCGTTGCCAGTGACGTCCACCATGCTTGCTGCCATCGCCTATTAAATTCGACGGGCAGGGTCCGAGCCCTTATTTCCCTTCATTCTTTCCTTGAAAACGATAGAGCAATTGAATTGCTCTGTCCTACTGTCTCTACTTTTTCTGTTTCTTTCGCTTTTCTTTACGACAATCACTCCTGTATCTGTTTGGTTCGAGACCTTGATGGAAAATGTGTCGTGGAGTCGTCCTCCTGTCTCACAGAACCAGGACTCACCCCCCAAGACAACTCACTCGAGACTCAGACTACGGAGACAGCAAGCCAAGCAACAAGCAATGGACACAGAGTACATTGCTTTCTCCCCCTATCTTATGACTATATATTGACCTCGGCGGTGTAGCACTACATACATGCCCCTGGACGTAACAATTGTTGCTACTCCCATCGCAGTGGCTAAAGGAGCTCATCTTTCGTCTTTCACGGAGACTGCCTTGGCCACAAGGATGCCGTATCGCATGATGAAGCAACGTCCACAGCTTTCAAGTCCGCCTTGGCAGCAATGCAACATGCTCGGGCGGCAGGAGACGACGTCGACAAAGTACGCCGATTTGGCATATTATCACACTGTGTACTGACTTGTATGCAGTGAATCCACATGGACCAGCATTACCATATTGCCGACGTCGACAACGGCTGATGCCTCGAGCAGTGTGACGTCGATGACGACGACTTCATCGTGGACGACGTCGTCAACGGCTACGGCGAGTAATTCGAACAGCACTTCATCCGAGTCGTTCCTGTCAACGTCCAATGCTTCGTACGCGATTTATTGCATTTACTCGCTTGTACTTACCTTTAAACAGGTTGTCGTCAACGATGCTTTCCACAACGTCCGAGCCGGCTTCTTCAACGTCCTCTTATGCAACTTCTACCGAGTCCGAGTCCCCATTCTCCACCTCCTCTTCGTCTGCTGTCAGTGCGCCTTCGCCAACGTCAAGCTCGTTTATCTTTCCTTCGTCGCCGACTTCGTATTCATGGGCATCACCGTCGACCTACTGGCCGATGCCGGCGACATCATGGTATACGGTTGTCAGCACGTCCTGGGTTGCCGAACCAGAGACTGTTACACGAGTTTCCGGTTCTTCCACTAGTGCTCGGTCGTCGCAGTTCTTTGCCTCGACTACTACCATCACTTCTACGGGTTTACTCAGTACCAACACCCCGGATGAAGGAAATAGCCTCTCGCGCAATACGGGAGCTATTATTGGTATTGCTGTCGCTGTAGCAGTCGTCGTGATGCTCATAGCCATCGGAGCATTCTTCGCGTGCCGGAAATACCGACGGTCAGCTTCAGAGCCGTGGACCAAGCAACCACAGTTCATGCCGTCATGGCGTCCCCCGCTTGAGGGTGACGACGGTAGCAGCATTGGTGCCACTGTTACGGCAACGAGCACGGTTGGACATCGGATGTCTTCTGGCCAAATCCCCTACATTGATCCGCGAGAGATGGGACCGCCCTCGTCGGAAGGGATGGCAACCTCGTCCCATGGCCACTCGTCCCATGAGTCTTCGAGCTATGCTCTCCTCTCGCGATCGAGGTCGTCTTCAGTAGGAAAGCACATGCGGGCAGAAGAAGCACCATCTGAGGAGGAAGAATCTCTCGGTCGATTGCATGCAAGGAGGCCTCTCCAAGTATCAGATCTCGTCATCCCCCCAGTTCCAAGGATACCTTCTGCAATACAGTTACTCCCGACTTCCCCAATTTCTTCAGCGTCCTCGGCTTATCCCAGTTCTTTACTCAATCCGCCGCCACCGCTTCCCTTTGCACCCCCTGCTTCTGCCTACGCTGTTCAAAGTTCGTCGTCGTGGCCTCCCCCACCGATGCAGGTTCCTTCGTTTGAGACGCGCGCCCGTGAAGGTCTGCTTCACCCATCAGTCGGCCTTGAACAATCGGAGAGTGTCACAAGTTTCAGGGACCATATGGATTATTCAAGGCCTATTCTGCCGAGGAGGATAGATAGAGGTGAAGAGGATTCAATATGAATGATATTTTTCTTGTTTTCTTGCCGTTCGCTTTTTATCACTACTTAACCATATACCCCCCCTCATCCACACTCACACTTACACACACACGTCGCAATTGCATTTTAGTACATAGCAATAACATATAATCCGTAATCCGTTCCCTGGGATTGTGTATTTCTAAGTATAAGAATATCACACTTTCACGTCGAAGATGCACAAGTTCTTTTTTCTTATGACAATTGGTGACTGTAAATGCAATGGAGATAATATTTGGAATAAATGATACAGAAAATGTCAGGACGTATTTGTTAGCCTACTTAGCACCTACAACAAGATAGGCCGGAAGTAGAGTTTCAGTCCCTCCGCAGAATGCAAACGCGCCCCAACCACCCCATCAGGCCGCACCACCACCACAAGACTCGTGCCCTCCTCGACATTATAGTGCTTGAAAGCATACCCCTCCTCGTCCCGCAACATACCACCAGCACCACCCTCCGCTCTAACAGCAGAGTTTCTCGGCAGAACGACGATAGGCTTCACCAGGGCCGAGGGATACGATCTCAGCGCGTCCAGAACCTCCACGCGCATCTTCACATCATCCGAAAACACAAGCACCGTATGGTGTGCAGGCCCAAAGCTGTCAAACAGCGCAACCTTACCCCCGCCTTCGCCGTCGGCACGCACCAGCCCCGGGGCCTCGGGGGCCCGGTCCCCGCCCTGCACGCGGCCGTCGAGGCCCGACCTATAGGGATCCACCGCCTCGTCGCCCGGGTTCGTCTCATCGACGACGATCGGGCTCCCGCGATACGTGACGCCAAACTGGCGCAGGATGTACCCCCGGAACCACCCCGTGTGGTTGTCCTCGGCGCGTTTGAAGGTCTTGTTGAAGAGCTCGGTGGTGCATTCGAGCATCGCGGCGACGACGGGGAGGCGTTCGGCGTTGTACGTCTCGAGGAGAGAGGGTGGGGCGAGGCGTTTGTGTACGAGGGCGAGTTTCCATGCGAGGTTGTGCTGGTGGCGTTTTTTTAGTGAGAAACGTTGTGTGGGTGTTTCATTGGGATGGTTTTTTTTTACTCACTGCGTCTAGTACTCCGGTATTGATACCCTGATCGATGTGTTTATTTGTTAAGATCTTCGGATGCAATAAAAGATAGTACGAACCTGGCCGCCGGTAGGACTATGTACATGCGCGGCATCTAAGATACATCAGATCAGGGGCGGCCAAGACGCAGAAATTACGATGAAGCAAGAACACACCTCCAGCAACAAACACCCTTCCCACTCCGAATTTGTTCACCATCCGAATGTTAACTCTAAAAAATAAATATGAGATCGGAAAATATCCCCAAGATCAATTTGAATGAAAACTTACTGGAACTGGGAAAGGAAGATCATCTTGCCAAAGTTGATATCGTTACGTTTGGTGACTTGGCGGAACTCTTGGATAAAGCCTTCACGGCCAGACGCCATATTTTCGCGATTGAGGTCGGGGCCTGCGGCGATGACATAGTATCTATCGTCCCCTGGCTTCAAGTACGGCCGAAGAGATACCCTGTTGGGAGTACATTGAGTGGGAAAACTTTGGGTAGAGGGACTCGTATTGCATCTTACGTTCGGCTAGAAGCATCTCCCCATACATGCCAGTACTGCACATGGTTCGTCAAATGGATGTATGAAATAAGAAGCAGCTTACAGATTGGTCTAATGGTGAGTTGATGACTTGAACATCACCCACAACCCATCGCTCCGCAGACTTTGTCTCTCCCATAAACGTGAGCCCCAACTGTTTACGCACGGTACTCCGCCCGCCGTCTGTGCCAACGAGCCAAGCGACCTCCACAGTCTCCGGAACCCGCTCATTGGCGTCATTCCATTTCAAGAGATGGGTAGTGACACGGTCAGGGCCTTGTTCGAACGACACCAGTTCCGTCCCGGTTTCCACTACGCAGCCGAACTTCGCAAGATAGTTACGCAGCACTTGTTCGTGTGCGTCCTGGCCGATGAGAATAGGGTTAACCTAATAATGCATGATGAGATCAAGTCGTTGACATGATATTTACAGAACACTGACGATGGGACGATCAGGAGTGCTCTCCAACTCCTCGGACATTGGCATTCGCACTTTGATGCTGACACCATCTGGCTCGTACATTATGAGAGGATGCGACTTCCCGGACTCCTCTAGGATATCGGGGAGAACGCCTAGGAGTTTGTATAGTTCCATGGTCCGTGGCTAGTAAAGAAAAAAAAAATGGGTTTAATTAATCTTCTTGGAGCATAGAAAACTGCGCGCGACATACGTGGATGCCGGAGCCTTTCTGACCGACTTTGTAATTTGAACGTTCCTTGTCGATAATTCGTACGGGTACGCCATTCTTTATCAGAGAAAGAGCAAGGACGAGACCTGAGGGACCTGCGCCAACCTGGAAGCGCATCAGCCATCGGTGCACAACCACGAGGAAAAGAAGAAACGAACGATGAGAACGGTGTCTGTCATAGCAATTGAGGCTGTTGAAGATGAATGAAAAGTTGAGTGGTGGTGTCTTGGTGTACTTTGAGCTAAGATGCTTTTATCTTCAAGATGGCGTAGTTGATGTTCACATGTGCCCCGTTCACGAGACTAAAATAACTCAGTCTCCCGAGTCGGACAACAATATGTCAAAATTAGAATGGATCCGAAAGCTTTCCTTACTGGGCAACATCGAAGTCTCGAGGCGAACATTTGAACCTTCGGGCTCATTCAGCGAGGGAGCGAGGGAATGATGCAGATGATGAAAGGTATTGTCCGAGTCGGTAGTAGCATACAACTCGTAATGACGAGGATGCTTCCACTGGCCTCGGTCAAGGGTAATCTTACCGAGCCGTTTAACCTCAGTAACTGTGGGCAAGTATCCTTTTTGCGCACCACTGGCTGCGTGGCGGCGGTATCCATTAGCCGGATACCTCGTCAAGAAGGCGCTTGGGTTGCTCTACCGTGATGGAAAAGTCGATGGATAATCAAGTGCTCAAGACGAGACAGACCCGCCAAGGATCAAGGTGGGTGCAAAGAAAGCCTGCGAAACCCTTCACTTTGACAGTGAGAAATCCGGGTGTCGGCAAACGTCTGTGTCTGTAAATAGAATACAAGCGATTGGGCAGAGCAATACGGTAAGAATCGAGAAAGAAACTGCTCCAACTGTACGGTGTCGCGCTGCGAGACGGGGAAAAACGGTGTGGAAGCGCAATGCAAGAACTTTCGATCGTCCTCCGACTCACGTTCAGGTTGCGATGCGATTGTCACGTGGCCGCCTATGTGGCGCCGTCGCGATTCGCGAGGCGCGTTCATAAGGCGTACATGAATGAGTTGGCATTGAGACAACACAGTGCCGTAAACGTAATGTGTCGTATAGAAATAACTGCGAAACGGCCAGTTCTGTATTAGAAAAGTCTACTACTGCTATTAAGTTGGAAGCGTACGGCTACAAAAATTACAAGCAGACAACGAGGACTGGCAACACATACGTGCATCTTCGATGAGCGGCGTATAAGAAATCTGCAAGATCATTTTGCTTCTCGAGAAGTTGCCAGCCAGACTTCCCCGTGCACAATAGGTAAAGCAATTACTACCGCCGGAGGTTGAGGTACAGAAGTAAGAATATACCAAGGAACACTCACTCACGGATAGATCTACTTTCTCGGCCAGAAAATACAGTCCCAAATTACGAGACAAAATGGCAACGGCATCTCTACAGTTATTGGTGACTTCCCCAGCGGGGGTAGTCCCATGGGACCCCAAATATGACACCGAGGAGGCCGCCAGTGGATCTTCCCTCAAGGGTTTACAGGTCGACTTCAAGGTGGAACTGTCCAAGTGTTATTGTTGATGTAAAGAAGAGTGTCTAGAAAACTGTCATCGCAAGTGCGCCCAATAAAGACAAACAAAGATATAACCATCAGTTCGTATACCTAGCATGAATTCGGATATGGGAGTGATGATCTCCGAACACATCCGTAATTGCCTGTCGGTGCTCGTACAACCAACTCTTGTCTCCTACAAGTTTCCGGCAAATAGCACGCCCGAGCCCGAGATAGAGCTTCTTGTGTATGTTGAACAGTGACACAGACATTCACAAAAAGGAAAAAAAAAAAAAAGAACAATCTTCCTTCAGTCCGAACTCCAATCTTGTTATATTTATAGTCCCACATGTAGGAAGAATGCTTTGGGTCCGTGGACAATTTGGTCTCATCATTGAAGATAGAAGGTATGCGACGAAATCTTGGTTCTGCTGAAGACGCTGGATCGATAGCATTGAAAAATATGATAAATTTCTTCGAGAAGAGATCGATATATCCCACAGAGCCCAGAGGAATGACCTGTTCAAACACGGGAATATACCGCTCGCTCCACTCTAGTAAGAAGCCGGACAGCCCGAATGCAAAAAATACGATGACATACATGGCGACCTGCTAATCAAAACCATCAGAGCTCCATGACACGAGATAAGAATTCCGGCGCTATATCCTGTCTCGTTCAAGGGCAACGATGGGATGATCATACTGACAATGAAGGCGCCAAAGGACGTAGCATGTGGTATGTCAACGACTGCTTGTGCGTTGCACGTAAATTCTCACTCCTACAAGCGATCCAGAGATTCCAGATAACGGGAGTCTTTGACATCGGGCGAGGTTTACTCTGCGGAGCCCAGCCCCGACGCTTGCTACTTCCCGTATGCCGTGAGCCTTACCTTCCCTATTCGTCATTAAATGGGATCATCCAGGGTCCCCTTATCTGATTCTCCTCAACGCTCTACCATTTTGCTACGTTCTGAGCCGGTATCCGCAACTAACAAGTATGGAAACAGAGGCAAGTCTTCGTCGGGTCCATCTGACCACCGAGATTACATTTCCTTCTAGATACAGAGCAATTCTTCTTCTCCACTACCTCAAGAGTTGATTGACCATATCATTGATACTCTGCCCTCTGATATCCCCACACTCCGGTCGTGTTCCCTCGTCTGTCGCTCGTTCCTTCCTAGAGCCCGCGAGCATCTATTCCGACAAGTAGACATCGGGACCCCACATCTGCGCCAATCCTTCTACAACCTATGCCACTCATCGCCACATATATTACATTCAGTCAAATCGCTCATCGGAGTCACACCCGGAGAAGAAGGTGGTGTCTCCCCTGACCTGATTCTTCAATCCCTGCCTCGATTGGAGAAGCTCGTGGTCTCCTGTACCAATTGGAGCAGCATGGGCTCATCATTCTGGGAAATCGTATCCAACCTTTCCTCCCTTCGATCTTTGACATTAAATGGCACCATTATTCCCTCGATATGCATCCTATCTTCCTTGTTGTCGAGTCGCGTGGAGGAGCTATGTCTCTCTGAGACTGACTTTGTGAGCAACGATGTTTGCCGGCATGGTAGTCATGATACCCGGGTGCAGTCTCTCACTTGCTCGGGAAACTTTCGACCAACAGAATACGAGCGAATCATGTCTCTCTGTCCAGCACTTGCGAACACGGCTCGGTCAATTGACATTAATCTGTATTTCCGCAACCATATCCTCAGAATGAAGGTCCAATTGGACTTGGGCATACTTCGAAACATCACAGTCCTCCATATACCTAGAGATTCTGATGGTATGTCAAATCCGTTTCACGAGTCTCCCCGGTTCAACTGAGAATGGCCTTTTAGTGCACCGTGATCTTCCGATTCTGAACATCCGTCATCTGCACTCAATTACGGTACGCATATGGGACCATCACAGTAGACCCGACCCCAATGCCGGTCTCCCCGACTTGGGTCTCCTCGAATGGTGGATCCAAAACTTGGAACACTGCAAGAACAGCGATATCCACCGCGTTGCGTTTCATGTCTACTACGACTCCCTATATCTTCCTTCAGACGATTATTCGGTTTGGGGGAAGCTGGACAGGGCCTGCGCGGCAATGAGTTCCCTTCGTTTGATAGAGATCGTCGTGATGCCAGAAAGCCTTACAGATGGTGAAATCACTGCTACATTGGCTCATGGTATGCGCGCCATTGCGGATCAGCTTACTCTTTCCACTCGACGCGGTATCGTCTCCGTGAGCGTGCGGTAGAGATTCTACGAGCATTGGTCTTTTAATTCCCCGTTGGTCTGTCGCTGACGCTATCTAAGTACAAACTTAAGATGCTAATTAGCTGTAAACTTAAGCAAGTGCCTGTCATTTCACAAATTCACTCGAACGTGCAGGACACGTGGCCTATCTTGGCGCCACCCCGATGATCGACGTATAAAAGGCACCGATACAATGCAATTCCTTTTGACCACTCACCACCACCACCACGAGTATCTCTGCTACGGCGATGGATTCTCGCAACTCCGACTATGACCCACAACTCGCAGCAGCACTTGAGGATCGCATCTTCGTACCCGCCGAGCAATTCCTGCCGACCCTTCTTCCCCTTCCTGCAGACTGGCGTACGAATACAACCGTACGGGGCCAGATAGACGCGATCAGACGCGATTCCATCTTCCAGCTCATCTCCAATGAATACCTCGGGGCCTCCAGCAGCCGTCTATATGATAGCATGCGTCTGCGCGTGCTCGACCTGACATCCGGCGCAAAGATGTCTGTTCGTCCTCATTTCCTGGAATATGCTATCCGAGATGAGTGGCTGGACGATGCGCGAGGCGCTAAATATCGCCTTCTGCCAAAAGGTAGAGACTTTCATTTTTTCACTCTGGGTACTTTTTTTGTTTTTGTTTTTTTGATCATGCAATGCTTAGAAGCGCCACGGCCTACCGAAGGAGACGCTCAGGATAAGGATCAGGACAGGAAGGAGGACGCAGCCGATGACATCACGATGGAGGAGGAGGAGGCTGATACGTACTGCGATGACCTCTACGAGCGCAGGAAGATGATGTTCCAGTGCGGTGAAAAGGCCATGACGGTTCTCGCAAGATTGTCTTCGCATTCTCTGGGACTGCTTCTATCACCAAAGAAGGCTCAGCCACTCTATTACGACCGGTCTGCTATCGTCATCTGCGAAGCGTTGAACATTGTGGACAAACAGGGACAACTCACGGATATCTTCATAGCCATGCTCATCGGTTTCTCAGCTGTTCCGGAGAGGAGCGGTATTCCGTCTTTTCTGAGTGCGGAATAGAATAAGCTCGTGATGGAAAGGAAATTGTGGTGTGTGTGTATAATCAAAGCATGTATCGTATGCAGCACCTTCAAGTTCATCTCTGGACGCGATCTGTTTTCGTTGAACGTCAGTGGTACTTCATTCCGCCGGACGGTTGTCAATGTCAAGTTCAACATGAGACGGTCGAATGGGGAATTAAAGTGCAACCTGTCGCAGTTTATTTAGATAAAGAAACGTTACCTGAGTAAGGCGAAGAGAACAAACTGCCAAACCCGCAAAGATGCAGGTCTGACACATAAATCGCACTGTACCGTGTTCTATAAGATAAGGGTGAGTTTGGGACGCAAGTTGAAGTGTGTATCGCAGAAGCTACAAACGGGCGTATCGGTGCTATCCGAGTCATCCCCCTGGTCGGCTCGGCAAGACGTCTCGATTGCTAAATGAAACCCCAAGCTCTCCAACCTCAAAAGTCTGCTACAATGCTGCAAAGAGAGTGGCAACAGATCTCTATCTAAGTCATTGGCGACTGATCTCAACTGTGGATATGTGATTCCAGGTATACGGCGATGACATAGCACCCCACTCCCTTTGCGTGAAATTCTCAAAGACTTCCGGGGCTGGGGGATGCGAAGGGTGCTCGGATTAGTGATGATGCAATCAGAGGAGGAATACTGCGTTTTAACACGGCGCTTCTCATATTATATTAGTTTCCGTCGTAACACAGGCGGGCAAACCAGGCATATCGAGAATAGTTGTCACTGGCACAAACGATGTCTCAGTTGTCATAAACTCATAGATAACTCCCCTTATCAAGCTTCGAATACATACAAGGGGTGGTCATCCCCAAACACATCCATGACGGTCTGCCGGTGTAGGAATCAAAATGGGTTCCTACGAGCCCCGTGGCAAACACGAGTCCTAAGAAAGCTAATTAGGCTTGATGATTAGTACGAAGTACAGAGGAGCGTCACAGCCGAGCATGATATATATATATACGGTCTGGTCTGTCTAGCCGACATGACCGATCCCCAAACATCACCCGACGCACCGTACGTCCCGAAACGGAAATTTGTATCGCTGCCATACGACAGCCTCAGAGGTCGGCAATTCGTCGACGACGTCGGTGGGGCAACGCAAACGAGGCGTCGCCATTCGTCGCGACTCGAACTCGGAGGACGACTCACTATCGTGGGTGGGGGGGCCATGACAGTCAGATAGCCCACTCGCCGTCGCCGGTCAACACGTACTCTCCCTACACCCACAGTGACTGAGAAAAACTCTTGTCTCCAAAAACAAAAAGATATCCAACGAGGATAATGTCATTGATAGACAATCATTAGCTGCGTGATCTGGAGGGGAGGGAAGGGGAATGGGGGGATACAGACCTGACGATCATCGAGATATTCGACATAGATATGGGTCGCAGAATACCCTTCGAAGCATGGACTCTACTCTTCTGGAGGCTCCGCAATGTCGACCCCAATCTACCATTTTCATTTGGGGCACAACCACGTACTCCACTATAACCGTTATGGTGATGCGGCAGAGCATCGGGTTAGCATTGACGCCTGATGGTACCTGTACAGTTGTTCTTTGTTGTCGGAGAAAGGAATCCACGAGTGCACAGAATTGACCTCCCTTCATGAGGGGTAGACCATTGCAAGTCTTGAAATTTTTAATCCGCTCCTCCGTGTAAAAATCGACAGGCCCAGAGTTCAGCGAGAATCAGGGAGACGAGCTCAACTGAGGGGGGTGCCATAGTAGATGTAGCCGAAACTGTTTTAGGTGGATGTTCGGCTCGTCCGGCACAATACGCCGGTTCGACGCCTCCGGTGTACAATCGTCATCATTGATCACAGGACTAAACTAGCGGAAATATATTATATGTATCCCAAAGAGAACAGGCTTGTACAAGCAGTGAGTTGAGTCACCAGCCAAAGCCGACATCTATAACAGGGAGAAAAAGCGCGCGGATAGATATGAAAACAAGGGGGGATGTCGGTACGGTACGTGTGAGTAAAGGAATCAAGGGTGTCAAGGGAGTGTAAAAGTACATTTGGTCTGCGAGTTGAAATGCAGAATGTAGGGATACAATCGTTGCCAAAGCCAAAGCATGATAAAAAATGAGTGAGTGAATTGACAGAGATGACCGACTGCGATCAGACAATGTCCCAGAGCTCTTCGAGCGCGCAGCAGAACTAGAGAAAAAAAAAAGAGGTCGCAGTCAGTGACAATGAATGCAAAGAAGAAGAAAAAAGAGGATTCTCGACCTTGCCGCAGGCAACACTAGCACTCAATGGGTACTCGCTGATACTGATTTTTTCGTCAACGTACGCATCCGCAAAGTCGTCCCGTCCACGGGCCATAGCGCCCACGAAAACGGCAATGTTATGAGTTTGAGGTAGCGTAGGTAGGTATCGTGAAAGGCGCTGCGTTTTCGCGTCACCCGATAGCGTCAGTTTAATGGTGTTGGGTGGGAAGTGGTCAACGATGGGGTTTTTGATGACCTTTAACAGCTTCTCGGGACCATTGACACCACGAATAAATAATTTGTGGAGGAGTTGGACTGAATGAAATTCCCATGTTAGTGTAACGAAAAGAAAAAAAAAAAACAGAGAAAGGAGGACGCACCCATCAATCCACTGAACCGCTTGAACGTCCTCGGTATCCTCACATGCGGATTGACTTCGATGAGCACGCCCTTCGCAGTGTGGATATACACTTGAAGAAGGCCAGCTTTGTTCAACGGCGAGTCCAGCAGGGTCAACAGACACTAATCACACGGAAAAAAATGAACAAATCAGAGCACAAAAGACAGGAAAAAAAAAAAAGACGCACCTGGTGTGTAATATCAGGCCTAGCATCTGCGATATCCCTTCCCGTCTTGGCAAGGATACCCTGGTGGTCATCACAGTTGAGCAAAGTATACTTGACGTCGCCCTCGCCTCCCTTGCCATGTCTGCCGCCTTTTGCACTCCCGCTCGAGATACGATAAGCCTCCAAGCAGGCCTGCTCCAACACGACAAAAAGACGTCGCTGAGACGCAGCTGCTATGCCCTTGGGCACATGCGCCTGCACAGGGAGCATCAGCGGGTTGGGGTTGGGCACGAAGGGCTCTCCCCTGAGCGGTGTTGGCGCAGCGATCTTTTTCGTCTTTGACACAGGAAGCGGTCGAGTAGGCCTATCCGTCGTCGTCGTCGCTCTTTTCATGATGGTGATTCCACAAGCACTGCTTTCGCTCCCGTCCTGGTTCGCATCCTCATCGATCTGCATGTCATGCGCTTCTTCTTCTGGCTCAGATTCCGAGCTATGAACAGGACTTTTCTGGCGTCGGCGTTGCAGTGGGCGTTCGGCGGGGCTGGATTTGGGTCGCGGTGGTGGATCAAGTTCGTCGGGGTTGACCAAGTGGGACAGGTCACGGTGACCAGATCCGGAATGGCGGCGACGACGAGCTGGGACAACCTGGTTGACGGTCATGGCGTATGCTGGCGACGGCGACGGCGACGACGACGACAAGAGGAAAGGGAGGGATTATAAAAGGTAAAATGTAGTCTTTACTATTAAGCGGCCTTGATATACTCAGGCAGGAATTTTTCACACCCTATAAGGGGCATCATGAGATCACGTCAGTGACGCCACGAACGACTTAAATGCGGAAGAACTCCTTACAGTTAACACAATTCTCAGTTAGTAAATCATTCTGTACCTTGACAAGTAAAGGAATCCGGATCTAACTGTGAACTATTTCTGGAAAAAATACTATGGGCATTGGGCACTTCAAGGATGGATGAAGAGTTCTTGATACCTTGAAGATTACGTCGTTCTGATGAAGAATGAATTTTAGTGCCACGTAACCTCCACACGAGAGCCAATGGAAAACAAAAAAGTCATCGATAGCGCTGACCACTTAAACTTTTCTGTTAAAACGAAGGCCTAAACCACTGAAATGCGATCCAAACAGAATAGAACCACCCGTGAGACCGGCGCTGACGGAGAGCCATGCTCGCTGTCAATAGTGACGCATAATTGTATGGGATGCAAAAGTCAAGGCCCGGCCTCTGAGAGGATGCCATGACGGAGATCCGGAAGAAAACCACTGATAGATGTAAGAGATATCAGAGCGCAAAGGTAAATATGCCTAGGCCGACAGACGGGCTGTTGTAACGTTCGATGTGGCCACACTACCGCATCGGAGACGCGTCTAAATGAAGCTTGAATCGAAAAAAAGATGTTGGTATCAACGACCAACCTACGCGATTCGAAGTAGAAGGGTGACGGAGAGGAAACTGGGGTGCACCCTTGGAAAGAATAGCAATGAGCTCTATTGATGACGATGACACTCCCGCTGCTTGATGCTCCGTCTCTACTTGGACAACGAATCGGATTGTGCGGATGCTGGCCTCTCCCGTGACTAGGGCTCAAAGAAGGCTGAGTAAGAACTCCTATGAATGTCCATACGAGGTAAAGATGTACCGAAACCAGCGCGAGGTTTTCTGTGGAAAGCGATCATTCAAAATGCTTTCAAGGTTGGGAGTTTCTGGGATCAGCTGGGACCCGAATATGCAAACAGCGTGCTATGCCTGCAGTGCGGAGTAGTCGAGTCAATGGAACATATTCTGATAGAGTGCAACATTGTACAGATATGGGACACGACCCGGGAGCTATGGGAGATGAGAGGTGGTACATGGATAGAACCGACCCTTGGTGTGGCCCTAGGAGCGACCGTAATAGAAATCTATAATCTGGAAGGATCAGTAGATAGGGGAGCTACAAGCCTTATAGGATGCTAATGGTAGAGGGGACCCACTTTATATAGAAAATTAGATGCCAGAGGCGCATCGTTAGGGAAGACGACAGCCCATCAAAGTGGCATAGCACGAACGAGATTCGGAATAGCTGGCTTGAATCAATAAACCAGAGACTGATAGACTGACTGCAAACCCTCGAAAGTACAGGACAAGGGTAACGAAGCACAGGATGGTACTGCTCATATGAAGGGGTACGTTAAAGGATAAGAAGTCATTACCGGATGACTGGATAGATCAGTACGGGGTTTTAGTGGGTCTGGAGCCAACCCGTGGGAGACCACGAGGCAGGCATCGAGTCCCACATTGGCTCGGTGAGCTGTGCGCAATTGCATTTCCCTGCGTAGAAATCCGGCCTGACAGTCTTATTACTCTCGATCAAACACCAGTTTACGAACGGGCTAGCCCCATACCCAAGTGGGTGGATGGGATTAACATAGTTGATTGTACATATATGCGGGTCGCAGCACACCTCAGAAATGTATGACCGCATATTCGTCAATATCCACTCTGCCTACAGAGCTGCTAAAGCCCTTGTGATGTCCTAGAAGGCAGTTTCAACAGTCGAAGAGGCAAAGAAACGGGGAGAGCGCTGGGCAGACAAAGGAAAAGCTTCGTAGGATCCCTGCCAGAGGCGAAATCACATAATAGAATCTAAGGGAGGCAATGGCTTCGGGCTATTCCGGCCTGAGAAAGGAAGTGACTTGGAGTTTGATGCATGATGTGCCGAGGATGTGTTTGACGATGCAATGTTGGAAGACGTCGAACATGGTGCGCGCGTACTCATCAATGGTGTTCTTTCACAATACCCACCAAATGCGCCCTCGGAAGGACATAGTCGTGTATTTCTATCTAGATGTACCAAGCGACTAGAAAAGGGTGAGTATATGCGCCAGAATAATATGGCTCAGACGACAGACCGGTGTCGAGGACGTGTACATCAAGTACAGCTTCGATAGAAAGATCAAGTTGTGTAGATATCCCTCTTCCATGACCTCATTGTACCCGTCGTGCATGGCACGTTTGTGATCGTCGAGGTTGACTTGGTACAAGCGACGCCGACGAGAGATTACTGGTACACTGCTGACAGCAGCATTGGCGGAGACACGACGTTTGTGATGCTCCCAGGCATATGTAGCCCTCGCTTGTGGGCATGGTGGAGGGTAAGGAAGAAGGGAAGGAAGAGACGATGCGGTTTGACAAGTGTTTATATAGGGCAGGGGTGTCTATGACGCGTGGAACGGCGCGAAATATGACATACCGCGCATCGTTATCGTTGTCGGTGTAACTTTAGCGGAGAAAGCGGTGGTGGTAGGAGGAAGGGCGGGAACGTGATGACTAAGACCTTCACGCGAAATCTAGGAGGTCGACCAACATTGTGTACTTGAGGATCCTAATGTAAGAAAATTGTTTCCTTGTTGGGGAGTTCTGAGAAATAGATGACAGATACGACCATGGGCACATGCCGCTGGATATGTTACACGTAGTACAGAAGCCGAATACACAAACGACGGTATGGTTTACACTATGCGTAGATTTAGCTCATTCATTTATGAAGAAAAAGGTGAGTACTAACTTTCTTGGTAATCTGCGGCAAGAAGCCTGAAAGAGTGTAATGAGCAAATGATGGTGTGACAACACCAAATACCTACAGCTCCAATACAATCTCGGCGGGAATTCGTTCAAGAAACTCGTTCACAGGTACCTCCTCCTTGGGACCAACCTTATCATAGTGAGCTTTGAAGCACATGTACTCCAAGAGTTTTTGGATGATGAGGCCACTGAGAGGGGGATAGGTGAATGTGAGCGTCGATGATGTTGCAGTTCGACACCTACCGATACTCTCTCGCTACGTATGTTTTGGATTCAGCTTCCGAGAAGCCACCTGTAGAGTATTTAGAGCTGTAAATATGGTAGTGAAGAATGATAGCGTACTTTCAGTGTCAAGAGAATTTTTGATGGTTCCACTGATATTGGCGACGCGTCGTCGAACTAGAAAAGAAAACCCATCGTTGCTTTCAATTCGCACCCAGTCATCATCCTTGGATTCTGTCTATCAAAAGAGTGAGATTGAGTGCGAGGACCAGCGAAAGGGTACGTGCACGCATTTCCACATCGGCCATGGCTGTGGTTTGAAGGTGCGGCTATTTCCGGGCCGGTAGCCCCACGTTTGTCATCAACGGGTATTCCCGTTTCCCCACTCCTGATCTTACCGAGTTTTTTTTGCCGTGTATACGCGCGGGACGACGGCTGTAGAATTCCCATCTATCGTCCGCCAGGATTACTTATTCCGCTGCCTCGACGCAGCTAGGGTAGCCTGCGGCCATGCTGCCGAAAGTCGCCACTACCTTACTACATTCTGGTTCTCGAGCAGCGACTGCTGTACAGAACCAGTCGCATACTATCAGAAACGTTCTTCAGCTCCAGTCGAATTCTGGACCTAATTCGAATCGCGGCGGAAATGGTCCCAGTTCAGGAGGTTCGAGATGTAATACTGGCAGTCGCAGCTACCATGTACGTCGATATCTGTTTCAGCTTCCGTTTTTATTGCTGACAGTTTCTGTTGAAGGGGTCTGGCCGTGCCGTGACTCAGGCCAACCCATTTGCGCTCAATGATGTCTCTATTGCCCAGACAGATGACAGCGATGAACCTTTGCCGGTCAAGCGCGTGCCGGCGACGGCGACGACGACGACGACGACGAGACGTGCTAGGCGTCATAGCACCAGCACCCCGCCCCTCGTCGCTGCTGAGCGACCCGAGTCCCTCGGTGTCTTCAAGGCTGTACAGCTCCATGCACGGTCCCGGCATGCTTTTGCTGCAGCACCGGTAGAGTCTCTAGTCACCACTCGTTCCAGGAGCAACTCGCTCTCTGCAATATCTGCTAGCGATGGTACTCCCGAAGACCTCCCACCGCCAGTACCTCTAGTTCCTGAGGATCATGATCCCAGTCCTCTCCCAGAGCCGCTGCTGTCACCCAAGCCCCAACCCGATATTTTTGTCACGGAGGACTACAAACGTCTCATGGATGCAAGGTCGCTCGACCCAAGCGCCGCGGCTACCGTTGTACTCAATTTCCGTCAAACCACTATCACTCCAACTATCCAAGAGTTCAATGCCGCCGTCGAAGCCCTCTTTCTCACACGGCGGCCTGGTGAACCTCTCACTCTTCTCCTCGAAACGTACAATGATATGATTCAGCGCGGTTTCGTTCCCAACTACCGGACATACGTTACTCTCATTCTCGCCCTCACGGACCGTGACAACGAGTTGCAGTGGGCCATCGAGGGCATTCATCAACGCCAAAAGTGGAACGAACTTGGAAATCCCACCATCAAGTTCAACGCCAAGGAGGACCTCAACCAGCTTCGACTCTTCCGCAATGAGGCCAATCTTCCGTCGATTCTTGCTCTCTTCCGCGCCATCTCTGTCATGAAGATTCACCCCAGCAACCAGATCCCCGTCTTCGTCTATCGGAATCTTTTACGATCATGTGCATATCACGGTGATGAACCCGGTACGGTTGATGGGGCGATCCAAATATGGTCTCATTTGGAGAAAAATGCAGAGGCAATACCTGCTATCTGTTTTCAGTGGATGATCGCTGTCTACGGCAAAGCAAAAGATCTTGCAGGTGTCCAGGAGGTCTTCAGGGAGTTCCGGAGGTTGGCCAATGCCCACAAAATTATTTGGACGGATAAAGAGGATAACTCGGCGCGGAAAAACCTGATATATGTCTGGAATTCGGCGATAACTGCCTATTTCCAGTGCGGTGAGCCACACTTGGCTGTCGCTCTCCTGGAAGAGATGCTAGATGCCGCCGCGAACCAGACTCCGAAGGACGAAATGAAAATGGCACATGGAGTGTACCAAGCACTTTTCTACGGTCATCTGCCACCCCCGCCTTCGTCCTCGACATTTTCAACCATCATACAAGGTTTCGTTACGGCCGGCGACATAGATTCGGCTTGGAACTGGTTCGAGCAAATCGTTAATCTTCCCCATGGTCCCGTTGCAACACACATATCAACGCTCACTCCTACACGGCCAGACGCTTTCACCTGGCGTCTCATGATCGAAGCCCTGGTTCAGCATAACCGTATAGAGCAGTTGAATGTGCTTTTTGCTCACTCTCTTAGCATCGGCAAGCGGGATAAAATAGAGCTTCGTCTCGTTGATCAAGGATATGTTTACGTTGCAAATATCCGCGATATCGAGCGCTTGGCGAAGGACCCAGGCAATGAGGCGGCCATTAAGCGACGACTGGATACGCTCTCTACCCTTCAGGATACGAAATACCTTCCTTTTGACGGTTGGGACAGAGTATGGAACTACTACCTGCAGTTTGGTTGGCTACGAGAAGCTATCCAGCTTTGTAAGCGCCATCTTCGCCACGTCCTTCAGACCGGCTATGATCCTCGTCCTGCTGTTACGAAGACTCATCTCGTGAATATCACGACGGCTGTTTATTCCAGGTACAAGGGCCAAATTCCATTCGAGGATGCGCTTACACTCGCTCGGCTGGCTCCCATAGTGCGGTACACATATCCAGTGGATTACTCAACATACCTCCTTCAGTCATACAGCCTCCAGACAATCGATATTCTATCCAAATTGGAGCTTTCCGACTGGATCGTCGTCCTGCAGGCCGCGGCCAGTCTGGAAGTGATGCCGTCATCTGTTCCAAAGGCGTTCGTTCGAGACTATGCATTCAAGGGATTACTGGACTTGTTGAGTGATCTGACACGTTGCTCCCCTAACTTTGAACTTTCAGTCCTCACCAAGATGTCTCCGTCGCTGGTGAAGACGGTCATTTCGGTTGCACTGCAGGTGCATGGAGAGGAAAAGGTGGAGAGCGTATTCGAGTCACTGGGTCCCTCATTTATGGCGGAGCTCTCCAGATATCGAGAGTCGTTGACATCGAGCGAAGTGAGCGAGGATGACGCCAGTTTAGGGTTCTCTCTAGAGAGCCCGACGACGACGGCTACTACTTCGCCTATGCTCGAAGAGACCGGACAGCCCCTCACAGATCCAGCATCTGTCTCATGGATAAACGATAAACAGCTTTCTGACACGCTGCGAGAACTCCTTCGACTGGAGAACAACTCTGTGGACGAGGCGTTCCAAATCTTCATGGAAGCAATCCAACAAAATAAGCTCCCGTATCGGTTCGTCACGGCATCTTTGATCACTGCTCTCGGGCGTGAGCGTCGATTGGGAGATATGAAGCATGTGTATGACCTGGTGCAGGTGAGGGAGCCGCCGCTGGAGTCCACCAATCCGTCGAAATTCCAGTCTTGGATTGCCATTGAGGATGCCATGGTTCATGCCCTGGCACATATGGGTGAGATCGAAGCTGCTCATGTGCACCGTAGGCGTATTCTGGAGCAAGGGGCCGTTCCGTCGCCAGATGCGTATGGCGCTTTGATCTACTACGTCAAGGATACCACGGATGACGCCTCTAACGCCCTTGCGCTCTTCCATGAGTCCCAGCTCCGCGGTGTACGCGCCTCGCAATATCTGTATAACAACATCATCTCCAAGGTGGCGAAAGCGAGAAAAGCCGATCTGGCGTTGGAATTGTTTACGCAGATGAAGGCTTCGAGTATTTCTGTGTCATCTATCACCTATGGGGCTGTCATTGGAGCGTGCGCGCGGGTTGGAGATGTGGTGTCTGCGGAGACGCTGTTCAAGGAGATGACGGAGCGGAGTTCGTTCAAGCCGCGAGTCCCTCCGTACAACACGATGATGCAGCTCTATACGATGACCAAGCCGAACAAGGAAAGGGCGTTTTATTATTATGAAGAGATGTTGAAGGCCGGCGTTCGTCCTTCGAGTTATACTTACAAGGTATGTCGGTACTTTCCTCTGGTGTATGCAACGTCTGATGGTTTTTTTTTCCTTTCCTTTCCTTAGTTGCTCATCGATGTGTATATGCTTGATCCCCATGATATCGTCAAGGCCGAAGAAGTCTTGGACATTGTTCACAAGTCGATGCACGCTCGTCTTGAGCCTAACCATATCGCGGCGATGATCAATGCATACGGATGCATACTCAAGGACTTGGACAAGGCGATTGCCTTCTTCGATCGGGTACCTATGCTGTCCAGTAACCGTCTGTACGACGCCACGGTGTTCGAAGCGATGATCAACGTACTGGTTGTGCACCGTCGGTCGGATCTTATCCCCAAGTACCTCAAGAAGATGGAGATCGTGAGCGTGCACATGACTGCGTACGTGGCGAATGTGTTGATCAGGGCGTACGCGGTCGTTGGTGATATCGAGAAGGCGAGGGAGGTGTTTGAGGGTATGGCTGATCCAGCGCAAGGAATGGCTGCCATGAATAATCATGCGCCGTTTAATCCTCTGGAATCTAGGCCTGTGGCTGTCGGTACACCCGTTTACCGGGAGGTGAGTCGCTTCGTTGGGTTTGCTTTCCACAACAAACTTATTATATGCTCCGTAGCCGTCTACGTGGGAAGCTATGGTCCGCGCGGAATTGGGAGAGGGACACCGGGACCGTGCGCTCGACCTTTTGGAGCGGTTAAAGCAAAGGTCAGTTTTTTCTTCCTTCTGTGATGCCTTTGCGGAAGAATGACCATTTTCTTTTCTTTTCTTTACAGGCAATTCCCGGAAGCAGTCTATAATCGGATAAGTGGCATAATGGTCGACCACTCGTCACTTCCGCCTTGATGCTCCGGTGTAGGATTTTGAACTTGTTTGGTTGTTGCTTCATTTTATTCCCTCTTCGTCTCTACTTCATGCTTGGTAATCAACAATGGTGTATCATAGTTTTGTATAAGTAGACATAGATTAAAAGTAGCATTATAAGTTTGATTATTCGCGCAATACAACCACTTCATGATCAGACTTGGAAGTTACTTCACCATATACTGGTTTCTCTAACTTCTAACCTCTTCATGGCTCTTCTGGTTGAGCTCGTCTCCTTGATTCTCGCCGAACTCTGGTCCTATCCATTTTACAATGAGGAGCGGATGAAAATTTTTACGACCTGCAATTTCATTTCTAACGGTCTTCCATCATGAAAGAGGTCACCTCTGTGCCCACAACAAAGGACAACTGTATACTGTCAGGTCGATGCATATTATCCCTAACCCGATGCTCTGCCGCACCATAACAGCAAGAGTGGAATACATGGTCATGCCACAAAGACTGTTATGGTCCACGCCGGATAGAAGCTGCGAATCCTCTGTCGCGGCCAACAAAGGGGTAGAGTCCTTGCTTCGAAAGATATTCTGTGACCCCAATCCACCTCGACATACGACTCATATCTACATCGACTATCTTGATGATCGTCGAATGCATATCCCCAGCTTCTGGATCCCTCCCTCAGATCACGCGCCTAATGATTGTCTACCACTACCGTCGTTGGGTGGCGATTCAATTTCCTTCCGGGTATCATGAAGGATAACGAAGGGGGTTACAAGCCTAGAGATGACATTAAGCCTCTGCACATCATCATGAGGGTGTCAGCTTTAAGATGAATGGTCACAAGTTAGAATGGCAAAATTAGAAGATGCACATCTGTAAGAAAAAAATTCCAGTCATATAAGCAATGTCAAGCTGACGGTGCATTCTGGGATTTACTCATCGTGAAGGTATTGCCCTTTCAACTATCATTTATAATGGCAACGGCGAAATAAGACTAATCCTGTATCATTTGTCACTGGCTGAGATGGTTGTACCATATGGGGCTCCGGAATACCCTCATCCCAGAAAATTTGCCTTTGATTCGTAAGTCCGTTCTCTATGACAACCGACACAGTCCCATAAATCACATAGAGGTGAGTATGGGATGGGAACGATGGCGAATGAATTATCATTAAGATGTGATTGTGTTGGTCAGATTCATTATCTGGTATGTGGAAGTGCACCGAGTGACATAATGGCATCTGACAATTCTCATAGCCTGGTTCGTACGTCGCACATGATGGGAGTGCAGTCGTAGTAAAGAACGTCAGTTGCATTCACGAGGAGGACAACGGTGTGCTATGGAAGCACACCGATTACCGCCCTGGTGGCCGTGGACAAACCATCCGTCACTGTCGTTTAGTCGTCAGCATGGTCTGCACACTCGCTAACTACGATTTGTTTCAAATAAGAACTAACGCTATGTCGAAAACTCATATTCATTGCATGTTCCAGAGTATATCTGGAATTATCAGTTCTATTAGGATGGCAACATTGAACTTGAAGTGGGAGAGTCAAACGGACTTCAACGTTACGAAGTGACGACAACTTACACGTGATTACGAGCTGTAAAATATAATTAAATAAATTCATTGCCTGAGAGCCGTACTTCAGCGGATGATGGAAAGGGGGATCTAGGAGGAATTTGGTATCGTCCACGGGATGAAAGAGAAAATTTCATTTTACTCAAAAAAGAAGATAACCCTTCCGCCGTGTCAGCATCTATTGCAATGCTTTGATACGTCCATCGCATCCATAAAACCCCTAGTTCATAGATGCGCGGAAAATGTACAATCCACGCCCAAACTGGTCAGTATGGCCGGTATTTTATGTTCACTAAATGCGTCCCGTCATTTACCACACGACCGACCACATCTTAATTCATGTAAGAGTATGTGAATTAAGATTTGGTAGAAATCATGAGTAAAAGGCTGGCCTTGCCAGGGTTGAAAAATTGCCTGACATGGACAAGATTGAACGGAAAGTCAAACTCGGAAAGGCTTTATATGGATTGCGCAGCCGATACATTTTCGGGGAGACAATCTTAAAAGTAAATGAACGACGTTGTAAGAACTCAGTCGGTGCAGTAAGAGTGAAACGACCGTATTGATAGTCTACCATACCTAAAGGTAAATGAATGACATTGTAAGAACTGTTAAAGTAGGTAAGTAAGTGTATACTGGTAGAGTAGCTAAGAAGCACACCTTAGTCAGCACAGTAAGAGTGAAACGACTGAGGTTGTTGATGTGGCTAAGGGGTATATATACTGTCAGGTAGATGTATAGGAGTATAGGAAAGAAAATGTACCTAACGAGCGTGTATAAAATAAGTAATCCATCATGACTGGCATCGAATATCATCTGTCTCCTTCAACAAATCTTCACTGAATCCCTGGATGGAAATCAGAGAAAATATCTATGAACAAAAATCACTACTAAAATATAGAATTAAAGAAAAAGAATACAATTAGCTGAAACCTGCCCTCAATCACAAAGTAAACTTAATTCATTCAGAGTCTTGATATTTCTCGTTGGTTTTCATAGACAATTAAATCTCCTTTCTTCAAACTCGAAATATATGTGGACAAACAGCATCGTCGGTATGAAGTAATCCCTGAGGACATGGAGGCACTCCAGCTCTGCTCATTGGCCATTATTAAGTACGTTCGTTATTCAGTAGTTGGAATGTCATCCGCCAAGTACTGAATAACGAACGTACTTAATAATGAGCAGAGCTGGCATTAGTTTCTTGATATATTCATCAAGCTCTAGGATCCTGATGAAGTCCACCTCTAGGACCATGTCTATCCTAATCTGCTCCCCATCCTCCAATGGCTTGTCAGAATCCTTTATCCAGTACTCTTCTTTTTTTTCATCAAGGCGTGCTCTCATCACAAAAGATAAAGCAAAAGCCCTACGCTCTGCGGCACTAGGCCTCGGCTACTTCGGTCAAGCTCGCCAAAATCGCATCCGACTTGAGAATGGTGGATGCATCGTTACCCGGTATTTTACGAAGCTGCGAGCCCCTTCAATGACTGTTCTTTGTGGCAAAGTTGGGTGTGATTGAAAGAGACAGCGATTAGAGCACCCGGACAGAATTTTAGTGAATAACAGCAGTCAAGAACGTGTAGCACTTTGAAATACCTGCATTTTGTACCAGAACAAACTTATTTCATACAATGGAAGCACCACCATCTGCAATGAACGAATGGCCTGTGACAAAGCTCGCACGCTCGCTCAACAAGAAGACGACCACATCTGCGATTTCTTCTGCCATACCGAGCCTCTAGCAATAACCATCAATACGCTGAAGCTCTCATACGAAGCTTGACCCACCTTCATCGGGACAGCTCCCTCCAGGAAGGTGCGGAGGTCAAGATGCTCTTTGATGTTGTCTACCAATGGCGTGTCAATGTATCCTGGACAGACCGCGTTGACGCGAATATCGTCAACGCTGTGGCTGACAGCTGTTTTCCGTGTTACACACTGGTGAAGTCATGTTGACAGAGGACGAACCGGCAGCCCTTGTCATCCCTATGACTGCATGCTTGGATGTAACATAGCTAGTGTACCCATTGCCGCTCAAAAAACCGTACATGCTGCTCATATTTACGATGGCACCACGTACGCCTGGCCTCCCTGGAATGCGAGCAACAGCTTCCTGGTTTCGCATGACCTTGAGCTGTTCACGCATGCAAAGGAAAACGCCCTTGGCATTTATGTTATTGATCCGGTCATAGGTAGCCAGAGGGGTGTCAGCCGTCGGCATAGGAGAGTTTTCGGATATCTATCACGTAACTCATCAGTTCAATCCGAGCCAAGAGAACACGCATACCCCAGCGATGTTAGCAGCGTAATCGATTCTCCCAAAGTTGTCTGCAGCTTCCTGAACCATTCGGACGACCTGGTCTTCCTTCGATAGTTCGGCTTCAGATGCATAGGCTTTGAAGTGCGGATTTGTAGCTTCGGCTGTGACGTCCTTCCTTGTTTCTTCCAGGCGTCCACGGTTTACATCGGTTAGGTGCAAACCTGATGCACCCGCCCGGGCAAATGCGAGAGCAGTCGCTCTCCCAATACCGCTTCCTGTGAAGAGGTGAGTAAAGGATACAGAAAGAAATAACGAGCAGAGATAGACCTGCTCCTGTGACAAGTGCGATGCCTGGAACGCTGAACATGCTACTGTCCGAGATGACGACTTAAATAGAGGCAACCGTGAGAGGACAATTGTTCCGAGGTATGGGTTCATGTCACCGTGACAGACGGTGATCATGAGATGTGTTTCCCACCCTAAAAACGAGGTGATCATGTTGGATATCAAAGAAGCAGATACGGTATGATACGGCAGACTATCTGCCTTCACAGAGGACGTCTGAAGATGCCCGGTACAGAGCTTTATCCTTGCAGAACTCTGTCTAGAGATAGATATTCAGGACTCGGATACCTTCAACGAAGCCGTGTGGGCAAAAAAAAGGCACGAACGGGCGTCATGGGACCGAGATCCCTTCTCTTCAGAGGTAAAGATCAAATTCCCTGAACTGATTTCTGCGTAGTGTTGCTAAGAGTAAGATCAACAATCGGCGCGTTTTGTATGAAAAGTTCCGTTAGCTTCGTTGTCCGTGCTCATTAGGGCTATTCCAAGTTCATGTGAGCTTGCAAATCAAAAAAGAAACAAAAGTACCCATTGGTGTCCTGTGCTATCCATTATGGCAAGAATTTTGCCGTCTCCTGCCGTAGTATAGATAGCAGTGCTTTTCTGAATAATGATCAGGACGCGGTATTGATATTGGTATTGGTAACCAGCACAAGGTCGCAATACGAAACGGCGGCGGCATGGCGGGGGCCATAGCCATAAGCTGTGGACATGAAGTCTCGTACCATTGTGATTACACTGTTGAGTATGTTGCGCAGAGTAGAGGGTTTTCATGGGGCACATCATGAAAGGGATTCCGGAGAAGTCTGAAGGTACAGAGTTGGACAGAAGAAGTCAAGGGCGGTATAAAGGTAGAGAATTAAAGATACCAAAGATACCAAAGACATATTTAACCAGAGCCCTCGCGATTTTCATATCCTCCGCGTCACATATCCAGACGCTGAAGAGCGCAGTAGACTGTAGTAGTAATTCCGAGAGGAAGAAAATTTGGGGACGGCCCGGAAGTTCCGTGCTTCATGCTGGTTCGATTTTGACGCTGCCGTGACCTCTCTTTGTATCCCGTACGTTCAAACCTATTTACCATGGAATATATATACCAAACCGCCCTTGTGAGTTGCTCCAATACTCATGGTATTAAACTGAAGCGGTAGAAAATCAGGTCATATGCAAAAAAAAGAAAACCACTCGCTAACCTCATTCTTCTCTGGTCTACGGTGCATTACTTTGCAAAAACAGCCGCCTAAACTGGTATTCTCCAGGTCTACGTCGCTCAAGATGGCGAGAAGAACAAATATGGAACCCCCGTCGCACCAAATGTCAACGCCTAGTATCACCAGCACCTCTTCTCCGTCCGTGTCGATCCCATGATCGATGGTATCAACAACACCTCATCGAATCCGACGTCCTCCCTATCCCTGATGCAGAGACTGGCTCCGCGGAGAACTTTGCCGGGAACGGGTTCCTCACGCAGGAAACTGTATTGAAGAAAGAGGCTGTGAGGCCGTACGATTGGGAGAAGGAGCGGAGGTGAAGGATCGTCAATACCGCGAGGAAGCATTATAGCAGCGGGAAGAACGTCGGGTATGTTATCTCTGTGAAGGTTGGGATCACGCCCATGTTCGCCAGGAAGAACTGCTTGGCGCTGAAGAGAGCTGCCTTTTGTAATTATCCTATCTGGGTGTGCAGGGACGTAGAAGGTGAGCAGGGTAGTAGGATGTAGCCTGCGGGTGATTTCGTATCGTAGACAAGGGCCAGTCCAGCGGACGCGATCGACTCGTGGCTGTAGAACCGATTTTTCGAATTTGTGCGTCACTTTTACTTGTCAAGAAATCGCACAACAGGCTCATCAATCCATTACGTTTGTAGTCCCAGTACCGTTCTCGACAGTAGCTGGTCATTGTCAGCTCGTTCGCCGCTATCCCTGATGTTCTGGTCACTCCGTTTGACCAATGCTGTGATATTCCAATGTTCAAACAGGTCATTCAGCTGGGGTCTGTCAGTTACATCAATCCTCTCACCAGGAAGTTTGTCATACTGTTCAACATCATTGATCCCGCATAATCAACCGACCAACGAATCAAATCCATCACTTCTCTCCTTGAAGGGGGAGTGATCAAACTGGTCTGCGACCTGAAATTTTCTTCCTTCCCGGACTGGGAACGAGAATATACATTATTCCACATCGGAACATTACTAGGAGCTTGGATTGAGTTGAGATACGTCCGTGTTTTCTGGCTTCAAATGCTTTCGGTGTATAGCATTCCTGTGGAATGCAGCAGGTATCAATCGCTCTGCCTCGTTGTAGGTCGAGTGTTTGCCAGAGAACCTTTTGGAACCAATTTTGAATCTTGGTTTCTCGAGCACAAACAGATCATGGTGTTTGGAGATGACCATCCTTATATTCGATGGCGTTTGGACCTTGGTAAGTTCACATCTATGAGTTCTGACAGCTGAGACTTCATTTTTCACCAGTGACAACTACCATCGACTCTTCTCAGTATGCTTGGTTGACCCGCCTGTATTACCAACCAGCGGAACATTATCGACAGGAACAACGTATAAAATGCAATGTTTTCTTCTCCAATTGCGTCCACCACCAATACAAGCATTCTTTCTCAGTTCCATTTTCGCGTCAACCCCCGAGCTTATCTCAGTCCTGGAAACCATTGGGGACATTTCACGAACAAGGATACGAAAGCCCGCGACTCTTAATCACCTGAAACCACATATCTACGGTTGGTCAGTCGCCAAAGACTGTAGAGATGTATCGTCAGTCTCTCGTACTAATGGACGACCCAAGAGTTTGAGGTAACGAACCTAGTCTCAATATAATAATCGGACTTCGTCGACTACGAGGATGGTAAGACAGAATGGGATGATGTCCACTCCCTTTTCTAGCGAATGTGGATTTGTCTAGTAATTTCTCACTTTAGCCTCCCAAATTCACTCCATCTTACGGAACACGGTATGTGTGTGACTTGGATGCTCCAACTAAAGTTGCGCTTGCCACCGGTAAAACTCGAACTTCCAGTATCAGATCGAGTTCGACCCGCACTGGTACGCGTCAGTGGCGTTTCGCGCCACCAACACGTTCTTTTCTCCTGTTCCCGCTTTTCAGGGTCTTGCTCTGATGTTCCTTTAAGGTGCTACCGGGAAGCTTAATCTCCCGACGCCTTCACGACCGTCTGGCCGAATATGGTCCTGGAAGCATCGTCTGACGTCCGTAGAATGGCAGCATAGTGTCTCTCGATAGTGTTTCCGCTGCGGGAATATACTTAACCCGGTCCTGCCAGTACGCTCATCCGCTGTCAGTCCTTCTGATCTTCTTCGCAGTTCAAGTGCGTTCGGACGGTGCCGCTAGCACGACCGCAGCCATTACGAGATTTTCCACTTCTTCCTGTCATGGCGGCTTCTTACATCTGTTGTTCGACATTTCGTTGAATTCGAATTTGAAGATGCCCGGTCTTCTTAAGGAAGGTTTTGCTACTCTTTATGTCCAAGATGATTGCTCGTTGCCGATAAAATTTTTGAGCGCCCTCAAGGCGCTACTCCTTCGTCTTAGAGAAACTTGGGCTATAAAGGCTTATTTCCGTGTTTACGGACATCCTTAGCATGGACGATTCTCTCTGCACGAACTCATGATGCCGGTCTATCAAAATATAATAATTGGCTGCCGAGGACCTAGAACTATAAGACGAACGTAACGAATACAACACCTGCTATGGAACTTAGTCATAGAATACCAATGCTCTGAGCTCAATTGATTGTCTGAGCGGTGCCCCTTCCGGCGTCGTAGGATCCGCGAAGCCTGTATGAGGTGTGAAGAGGGCTACGCTTCCGTCCCGAACAGAATCGAAACTAATATTCAAGTTTATTAGTGAGTCTTCTTTCAGCATATATGACAAGGCACGAACCACTTGATAAGAACAAACTCGTCAGGCCTCACATCCTTGAAATACCCCCACTTCTGGCGCTCATTGTATTTAATACCATAGGTCTCCCCCTCCATGTGAGGGTATTTTAAAGCAACTGGCTCGACATCTTTCTCTGGATCGACACTCGAGAAATGACACAGCGCTAGTGGCCAGTCGATGGCGGCGTTCTGAATTGGTCGCCAAAGATTGATGATCTGGAATCGCTTGGACAACAGTTTAGGGACGTCCTCCGGTGGAAGATGGCGATGAACACGAGCAGCGGCCGACTTGGGAGTTTGGTCGACATGGGTGCTGGCGACTGGCTGTCGCTTCTCTGGCGTATCCTCAGTTTCTTCTGGACGGCGCCGGCGTATGGCTGATCATGTATTATGTTAGTGACATACCGTAAATGGTCACGATATAGACTTACTATGGTCGAATAGGACAACTCTGCTCGCACCCGTCAACTCTTTTATAGCCGCAATGCTCTCCTCGTAGTAACCTTCAACCTGCACCTCTCCGTCCTTGATAAACTGGGTAGGCCGATCGGAGAAAAGCTGGAATCCGGCAGTGTCAAGGGTTATCGAATCCTGCTTTTCCCTGTAATTCTCAATGTGTATAGCCTTTTGTCCCAGGGAGTAATTCCTATCTCGCGTTCCGCGAGACTGAGCATTAATGGCAAAGTATGCTCGTTCGCCGTTAGGAGGCGGTTGCATGAAAAAGAGATCGGCTGTTACACCAGAAGACATGATGATGAGTTATACTGAAGACCGTTACACAAGAGCAGTGGTTATATATCCTCTGGCGTGAGTATTACTACTGTATGAGCTGACAAAGGGTGCACCCACATAAGTACGCAATTTCACCAAAAGGTTGCGTGTTGTGCGTTGCCGCGGTCATGTGAACGGTCTCGCCGCAGGATGACAAAGAAAGAAGTCGCAGAACCGTGAAAAGTGAAAGACCAACTCAATTTATCTACGATTTCTAAGACGTGATGTAGAGTTAGTCACCGGGATGCTCGGATATAATTACTAAGGCCGCCTGGATAGTCAGCCACCAAAGGTTGCTCAATGACACTAAGCAATTGCTGGCCGTCGTAAGTTCGCCAAGGGTTTGCTGGGTGATGTCAGAGCGAGAATCACGAACAGGAGAAGCTTGGTTAAGGCGGTGCCAACCGAAGATAGAAACATTGGGGTAAAGCCTTCATGTTATTACAGAACATTCAATAAACAATCTACACTGTAGATAAAGGTGACGCAGAGGAGGGTCCGACAACATAATCATAACATAGTTAAGGGAGTTAAAAGTTGGTTAAATAAAAGAAACGAATGATAGCTAATGTCACCATTACAATAATAGTCCTTCGTTAAAGCCCAGGTCGGATTAATTATAACTCTGATGAATCCAAGTCATCATAGATGGGACAGAGATCATCCCATGCAGCTATTTCAACGAAGGCGTGTTAGTAAGTGTCGACGGCTCCAAATAAAATCACAAACTGGATGGAGTAATGGTTGAATTCCAGTCACCGTCATCTTCTGCAAAAACGATGGAGAAGCCACTGAATATCCCATGAGCATGATTCATCCCGCTATTGAATGCGAACTTACAGTGCCAAGTGCCAGTCAATGTGACTATAAACAGTAGATCAGTACAAAGTAGGTGACCCAGACCTGGCGACGTACCAATGAAGGATCCAGGGTCCGGGGTTGTCAGTCGTCCAGCGGATAGTGACATTATCGCCAGCTGCGCCAAGACTGACAACGTCGCGACGAACAGGATTATCGTAGTTGTACGTGTCGCTTCCTGCAGAACGAACAACATCGAAGTTATGCTGTCGACAAATGAACCATCAGAGATCTGCTATGTGTCACTTAAGAAACTGGATCTTACACCGTGAAGGTGGAGGGGATGCTAGATTTAACGTTAGTTTCTGGATTTTCTGTACGACGAACTTTCAAGACTCACTGGTCCGCCGGCAACACCAGCAGGAACCGAGAGCTCAATGCTTGAGTCCTTTGGCAAGTAATAGATCGAGCCATTAGGGAGAAGGCTTGATACATCTTCAGCACCACTCAAGATCTGAAGCAACACAGGCACAGTTGGTGGTACATATTCTACGCCGTTGACGGTGAATGTGAAGTCGGATGTCTGCGAAATGAGTTTGAGTACTGTTCTACCGAAGGTACCGTTGAACAACATACGAATGCCACAGCCAAGTTGATCGCATCGTCGACACCTCCAGCGGTAGCAGTACCCGGCTAAAAATTGTGTCAGATGACATTGCAAGTGAGCTCAGCCAGCAGAAAACTGACCACGCCAGGGTCTAGCGGCTATTATTCGGATGGGTGTGAGCCTTTCATCCAGTTGACGGCGGAGAAATAGGTACATACAACAATGCTTGTCTCAACAAGAGCGTTCGTGCTTGTAACTGTAGCAGCCGCGGGATTCGTCTCGTTGGCTCCGTTATAGCGCAAAATAGCCGAGTTGATGTTCAAATCAAATCCAGTGGTTCCTACATCGGGGTCGAAGAGGATCCCTGGGAAGCGAAATCAGTAAGTAGCTAAAGAAGACACATAGTTCATACAATAATTGTCGACGGCCTGATCTGCGGTCAGCTGTGAATAAAAAGATCAGTCATGTCGCATCGTCGTATTGACTCAGAAACGAAACTTACAACGAACGAGTAGCGCTGACCTATATCAGACATTAAAATTAGCCTTTGTCGTAATATCTGATAGAAAACAACGGACCGGCAAAAATCTGAATCTCGTCAACTGTGTATGCTTCGACATTAACACCATCAACTTCGATTACGGTCCTAACCATAAGTCAGCAACAATCATCGTGTCCCGGGAACAAATGGATTCACATATTATGGTCCTGGATTTGGAAAACAAAGTTCGAATCGCAAGCCATGTTAATCAAACGGAACCGGTATCTGAGAGAAAGCGTCAGAGAGGAAAAGCAAGTTGTTACAACCAAAGCATACCGTGTACCAGATTCCACTGTGACTACTGAAAGAGAGCCAGTTCCATCTTCATAATAACTAACCGTTCTTCGTTAAAGATGCACAAAAGTGGCTTGAACGGTGCACTTACATTCCCTCTCCGTTCAAAAGACTCGAATCGGGGGTACTGAGAACTGCTAAATACCAAGTCACAGCGAAGGAGAGTAAATGAAACATACGGGAGGGTCAAGGTCTCTGCGAAGGAGTGATACCAATCAAACAGACTAAGCACAGTAGTCTCTGGAATGTTTCGTACACAATGTTAATTAACCACACTTGAATGACTGCAGATTGACTGACCATTGTCAACATCGTACAGCGATGCGTGAGGATCGTCGTCGTCATAGATGATGAGGGGTCCACGAACACCGTCGCAGTATTGCGTAGCTGGTACCAAGTCAGGTCTGTAGTTTCTGAAAGAGTCAGGGGGACTCACACAGATGAGAATGATACCAAAATGTACCAGCTTGGCCGGTTGTTGGAAAACTGTACAAAAATGAATCCCCTGAGGCAACAGGACATTGCGATACAAAGGCGACGCCGTCTGCCCAGGTCGTATTCGTCTGGAAGATGCCGTGCCAATGCTATAAGACACGCGTCAAAAAATGTCAGAGTAAGAGCACTGAAGGCATACAATCGTTGTGGTTTTGAGCATATCATCATTATCCAAATCGTTGACCACATTTATTTCAAGTGTGTCTCCCTGGAAGTGTAAACGTTAGATGAGGAAGGAGGGTAAAGTTGAACGTGATTTACCGTAGTTGCGGTAATTAACTCCCCGACAACCGATCCTCCCGCCAAAGAAGCGGTTCGATTGTAACCATCCGGAGAGACGACGGCGGCAGAAATGGTTAGGTCACCAGAGGTGTTGATAGTCGCGAGAGTCGCGACAAAATGTAGAGCCAAAGTAACAAGTGTTGCAAAGGATTGATGCATGACGAGAAAGAAATGAGGGGAAAGGTAGATATTGACTGAGTGCCACTATAACACAAGCCTGAGTAGTAATGAATTGAGGGCGGCTCCTTCTCCGTTTTATACAGCGACATGGATGCCGACATTCGTGCAGTGCAATTTGTTGGCGATTCACAGAAGGCGAACGTCGGAAGACCTAGACGGCTTTGTCTGATCTAGGAAAAGGCACACCATGTGGCAGGAAAGACGTACTTCGCTGGGACACCGGTAGATAATTTCATGATCCAAACCTTGATCAGATCCGATGGCACCCTGTGAAAATAACACCTTGTGAAAATGACACCGCTTGAGTGAACATCAAAGCAGTCACGGCGCGGCCAAAATGCTGCGCGCAGAATTCATTCTCTAAGAGCTGTCATAAATGGACGGCACTCCAAAGGTGACGTCGGAGGTACAGCTAAGGTGACGTACACTATCCAAGATACGGAGAACTGCGCTTCCCGCATATCTTTGCTAGAGGTCCATATGGAGAAGTTAAATTGAATACTCTTCGCCAATAAAGAAGAAAATAGCTCACCTAGGTCATGACGGGTGTAGTACCTGAGATGATACCGGTGGGCGCATTCCTGTAACATCAAAGGGGGGGCGCTTTCTGACTCCGATAATTGCTCAACCAAAGTGCTGCGCAGGCGTAAGTCGCTCTCTCGAACCACTGAATGTTTTGAACGTTTGAGTTAATTATAGAAATCTACGCAGCAGGTGTAGGCATCAAAGTTTTTTTTTTCTCCGTGTAGGTTTCTGGCGCTAACATCAGAATTTTCTGAGAAAATTCCAACCGTCGTTTACAGAGCTTTCCTGCACAGAAAACGAATCGGAAGAGGACTAGTCAGTCCAATGATCCATTGATCGCACAACTGTTTCACGTACATGCAGAGCAGGGAAGGTTGTACTATAAACTCGTTCAGAGATCCGAAAGCCGGTCTAAAACCTTATTTGGGCAAGAGATTTCGAACCATCGCGATGATCCTTTGACCAGATAGTATGTATGGTCGATGCACACAATACCAATCAGAGGGCGGAAGTTCCTTACCGAGATAAGGATGGTCCCTCCAAGGACCGCGAAGAAAACGGCGCCGTTCTAACTTCCAGGTAACTGCGGTTATATGAGTCATTTGAATATAGAATCCAGGTCTTGGTGGAGTGAGAGCGTGAAAGCAAGTTTACCACAGAAACAGAGGTTCGCCTCGAAACGATATGATAAGCGATATTCACTCATCCGGATTATTGAAGCCGGCGGGACAGGCGGGCGACGCTGCTCGTGAGAGTCACCTCAAAGCACAGTCGTAAAGCCGAGGATCGTTGTAGAGAGCAAACGAGGCGCTTGCAATTGGCCCAGAACTCGTTACGTAAATTTCACAGAGTACCCACTGTTGCATTGTGGTTCTGAACATGGGCATGCAGACCCTATAACCGTTAACCTTCTTCAGTCTTATATTTCCAGAAACTAGACCCAGAGGTCACCCAATGGACCTCAAGTTTCCAGCACCAATTTGATCTGCAGACCATGTTACGAAAAGTGAATGTCTTATAAGCATTCTTCGACATCAATTTAATGCGTTACGATACATACCACACTTCAAAGGTATCGTGACGACCTTCAAGGCCTGCATGTGATGTGGCGGCCGCGGGTATCCCTCAGAAAACGTATACTTCCATGGGCCAATGAGACGCTGATGCGAGAATCGAGAATAAGTTCTTCAGTCGAGCCACAATGCCAGAATCCTCGAAATATTCACAGGCTGCGGAACTATCTTTGACTTTAGGCTTGATTTGAGATGCATCTCAGACGAGTGAATTGTGCTGAAATCATTGCGGCGTAGTAGCCTCTTAGGTTCCATTGGCAGGATTTCGGCCTGGTTCAATTACTTTTGTCCATGAACATCTTGTTCAGATATGCGAGTACCTACTCAAATACATAAAAGACTCAGGTTCGTTAAACCTCGTCAACAGCGCTGACAGTAGACGCCGTCATATCGATCCATAAGCCGCCCTAAGAAAGGTATTCCGCAAGTTAGGAATCAAGTCCCGAGAGAGACAAGAAGAAACTCACATAGCTGTATAGCGTCAGGTGGGTTTTGAGCATGACCTTCTCTCTCGCCTTCGTGCCGCTTTCATCTTTCCAACTTGCAGGCGGCCGGCATTCTGCAGGTTGCGCTTCCGTGTTCAATCTGATCTCGGCGAAACTCTGGAGTAGTCGCACGAGGAAGAATGATATTTCATGGTAAGCAAACTAGGGAGATAATGAGAAGTAATTTAGAAAAGAAGGACGGCCCACATACCTGTTGACCTAGACATATTCGCGGACCAGCATTGAATGGCAGAAATATAAATGGATTTCCAGTTAAATATTTTTGCACTCTATCGTCTAGGAATCGGTCCGGATCAAACGAATGGGCATCAAGACCCCAAAGGTCTTCACGACGATGCATCAAAAACACGCTATAGACGATCCTAACAAGACATCAGGTCGAGTAAGTGACAGTATGGAAACTTTGGGCGCACCTCGCTTTGGGAGGTATGTAATAGTCCTGACCGCCAGGAGTCTTACGACGCCAAACGGCGCCATTTTTGCAAGCTCTAACCTCGACATCAGTTTCAGCCCAAGAAAGGAAACATAACAAGTGCCCAAACTTGCCTAGCATTCAATGGTCTGTCGATTTCGATTCAGCAACAAGTCGTCAATCTAGAGTTAGTTTCACTTACACCGGTGGGTATAAGCGCAGTGTTTCTGCCAAACAGGGCGTCATTATGCCTGATATATTTGATCCACTCCCGGGAATTCTCACGCACCATTAATCACAGCACGGAGATACCTCATGTCCCGAAAATCGTTGTAGGTGGGTCTGTTCGTCATGCCTACCTTTTCGAGGATTTCGTTGCGAAGACGACGAAGGACATCAGGATGCTGCGAAAGCATGTACACAACAAACGTCAAAGTGGCAGCAGTCTAAGAGCGCATGGACATCAGAGGAGGCGCTGGACGGACAGATCAGTACTAACAGTATCACGGCCGGCAACACCAAGATTCATGATCTCGTCTCGAAGAACATTCTGGTCTAATCCACATATTAGATTCATATCATTCTACGGAACGAAAAACTTGCCGTCTGTGTAACAAACCAGGTGATCCAGTAAAGTCTCACCCTCCTGTACTTCCCTGGTCCTACCCGCTGCGATCTGTTCTTTACCTGCACCGTCTGCCGCCTTCGCGAGTATAGGATCCAAAAACTTTCTCACAGCGATCATCTTCGCTTTTGTCTTGTCGGTCCAGAATTCAAAAAGCGGCCAGTAACCAGCGAAGCGCGTACGAAGCGCAGTCTCCAGCTGTGCCTCTCCAAAAGCACGCGCGAACTCATCACTGGCGGACTCCGAGTCAGACTGGGACAGTGGAGCGAAGAACGGGTACGGCAAGGATGCGGAAAGGGACCGTACGTCCTTCCCGAACAAAAATTCCGTGGCCGAATCAAGCGTGAATCGGCCCACAAGATCCTGGAAATCAACAGGGTACCCTTGCTTGAAGCGGGCCTTCATGAGCTTGAGCGCATCATCAGCGTGCCTGTCAAAAATATCAAAATGACTGATTTTGTCCTTGCTGAAGAACGGCCGCGTCATAGATCGGTGGAACCTGTCCGGGTGGGACCGTCAATTCTTTGTGTGGGCGGCGAAGATACGGCTTACTTCCACATATCGCCTAAAGGAAATCGAACCCGAATTAATTAAGACTATACAGTGTGACTGCGCTCACCGTCGGAGGCAAAAACGCCAGTTCCTAACAATGAATGAAAATTATCGCACAGCGTAGGTCCTGGAATAGAACACAGGTTTGTCTGGGTCAGGCGCTTCTTGGCTATACATTCGGTACCGCTTACCTTTCTCGAACTAGGCACAAACGTCAGCCAATTAATTAACACGAATAGTTGTTGACACAAGGAACATACTTCATCAAACTGCGTGGCGAGGATCGCCTAGTAAAATATTGGTATCGCGCATTAAGCAAATATCCCGCAATCAAGGTACCTTTAGATAATCTGGCTCTGTCGTGAAGATCTATAACAGAACTTGAACAACGTGCACAGCCCAAGTATGTAGGAGACTAACCCGATCCTTGAAGAGAATTCTCATGTTGACCGTGTTCCCAACACGGCTGAAAATGTCGCTCAACCCGTCCCCTTTATACGAACGTATTAAGTGCATTTCACGAGCAAGCTAAAAGAGTTGGACTCACCAGGATAACCTGTTTTTAACGCCTTGATCAAAGATAGCAACGATAACACGCCACCCAGGCTTGGATCGCCAGTCCTTGGAGGTATAACCGCTCCAAGTTTCTTTGCAGTTCGTCTGTTGATAAAATCCATGTATTGGACCTGAATTGTAAGGCCCAAAGGGAAGCTAAGCGCATAAGAGATGACGCGGGCCCATCTAGGTAACGCTACTTCGAAGACGGTGAAAAGGGTGTACACCACTCCGGGAGGAAATAAAAGGTAAGGCAAACACTGAGTGAGATAGGTGATACCTGGTGGGAAGTTGGCCATCGCAACGAGTTTGTGGCTTATACCAACGAGAGCTTCCCTTTAAGTACGTTGCAGGTAAATGAATTTTCAACACGAGGCAGCCCCAATGCATTTCACACGGAGCCAAAGCATGCTTCCAAAGAGTTCCAAGGTTTGCTAGAATGTATAGTACCATGACACTACATGCAAAACTATCTGTAGGCACCGAGCAGAGAGAATTTATTAGACCATTTTGAACTTCTGAAACGGTGTATATGACACTCACAGAATGAAGGCACGGGAGTTACTCAATGGGGTGAAATCGAATGTAAGAGCCCCGAGCAGACGAGAACACAGAAAGTGGACTAGCCGGCTGCTTGTGTCCTCTCCAGCATCTTGTTTACCGCGACTGGTCTTCCAGTAGGAGGATGCGCCAGGTCCGTCAACCGATTTTCCCTCATCTTCATCAGCAAATTTGACAGAAAAGCAGGCGTGACACGATGGTCATCCGCAGCCTCAGACTGCGGAGTCCCGCCGCTCCTGCTCCTACTGGCGCATCCGCCCGTTGCACTCAGCGGTGACTGACGCGAAGAAGAAGAAGTATCAGGGAGACTATCATCTTTGTAACGGTCCCATAGAGCATACAGGGCAATGATCTCCTGGGAGATTGTGGCAATCAGTGGAAGCGAAACATTCAATTCAGCAAGGAATGTGACGGGATCCTGGTGCTTTTTTGATTCGGCTGCATTCCGGGACGACCGTCGGGGGTGTGGAGCTGTAGAGCTGGGAGGCTGGAGCAGGGTCGAGAGGTTGTCCCTTGACGGCCGGTGAAACACTTGTGTCAGATAAATGGCAGCAATGGCAATGAGATGTGGAGGATAGAGCAGACACAGAGATCCCCGGTATGTGTCGTTGATGATATGCCACGCCATTTGCAACGCCGCTTCGGACATTTCGAGCTTGTCCTCGCTTGAGCCCCAGTACCGTTGGCCTTCGTCAGCGCTGATTCCAACACCGACCTCCCCTGCCTCCGTCTCGTCGTCTTCATCGGTGCTCGACTCTTTCTTGCAGAGTGCCATGAGGGTACGATATGGATGGAATACTGTCAAATCACATTCTAGGTCATCGACTAGGTAAAATTCCATCTCTCCCAGCTTGGAATTATCGGATGGGAAGTTCTTCACATTGTAGTGTTCTACAAAGCCGTCAACGCGACGCACTTGAAAAGAGAAAGGAACTTACGACTGAACAATGTGCGCGATTCTGTAACGACATTCTTGATGTGCACGGGAGATTCTTCGGCCTTTGCAGCAACATAGCAGCACGCAGCGATGACAAGAAATGGATCCGTTTCACAGTAGGCATTCTTGAGGTAGAACCGCCGGAAGAAGACGGTGGCAGTCGCAATAGCCCTCTGTCGTAGCTGTAATTTTCTGCCCAGCTTTGCGATGGCTGGGATTGCATGAGCTCCACGCCACAGCAGATGCCGAAATCACGTACCGTTCGCAAAATAGATATCCAGGAATTCAAGATGCTCCGGGTCGTCAACGTATTGGAGGTCCTCGGCCCTTGCCTGCTTGAGCGTCGCGCGGTCGGTAATCCATCTTTTGCTGCGGAATGAGATAACGGGCACCGTAGTCGTGAAAGGGCGCCTCACTAGTGGGAGCTGGCCCAAAAGTCGGTTGCCATTGTGGGCGACGACGATGGTGGGAAGAGATGAAATAACGGAATCCCGGACCCCTCCGCACCCGGTGCTTGTGACGTATCCTTCCCGAGGTCGAGAATTTCTTCTACCCCTCTGGTCTTTTACCACCATCATCCCCCTCAGAATGTTTGCCCGATCTGCTGCTCGTGCCTTGGTGACGCCGTCTACTCGCCATTTCTCCTCGTCTTCGGCTCGTCACACCAAGGTCGCTGTTCTCGGAGCTGGCGGAGGCATTGGGCAGCCTTTGTCTCTTCTCCTGAAGAGCAATCCTTTGGTTTCTTCGCTCAACTTGTATGATATTCGTGGCGCTCCTGGTGTAGCTGCAGATGTCAGCCACGTCGACACTCCCAGTGAGGTAGGCACCCGTCTACTTGCTGCCGTGTCGCGTCACGACTGACCGTCTTCTGCAGGTCAAGGGCTACGAAGCTGACAAGTTGGACGAGGCCCTAGACGGTGTTGAGGTTGTCGTTATTCCCGCAGGTGTACCCCGAAAGGTCAGTGCACCCATTGCCCTGCTATTCATTAAATGCCAGCTGACCGGACCCTTTTTTAGCCTGGCGTAAGTCGCAATAATCTGGTTTCTTCATTGACCGTTCTAACCCCACCACTAGATGACCCGTGACGATTTGTTCAACGTATGTTAATTTCTTTGCTCAGGCAACTTGTGGTTCAGAACATTCATTCTGCAGACCAATGCTTCCATCGTTCGTGACCTTGCGACCGCAGTGGGGCGTGTTTCTCCCAAAGCCCACATCCTCGTCATTTCCAACCCTGTCAACTCGACTGTCCCCATTGTTGCCGCAACCTTGGAAAAATTGGGTGTCTTTGATCCCGCTCACGTCTTCGGTGTCACCACTCTTGACGTTGTCCGTGCCGCTCGGTTCACCGCTGGTATTGCAGGCGTCAAGCCATCCGACACGGTCATCACAGTTGTTGGTGGTCACAGCGGCCCTACCATTGTCCCTCTCCTCTCACAGTCGACTTATGGCAAGGCCATCAAGGGTGAAGTTTACGAGAAGCTTGTTCACCGGATCCAGTTTGGCGGTGATGAAGTTGTGAAGGCTAAGGATGGTGCTGGAAGTGCTACCCTGTCCATGGCCTACGCCGGCGCCAAGTTCACGGATGCTCTCCTCCGTGCTTTGAGTGGTGAAAAGGGTGTTGTTACGCCTACCTTCGTCAAGAGCCCTCTATTCGAGAGTGAGGGAATTGATTTCTTCTCCTCCAATGTCGAGCTTGGCGTAAGTTCACCTTGTTGACTCGTGCTTCTGTTTGCTAAGACCGGAGCTATGTAGACGAACGGTGTTGAGAAGATCCGCCCCATTGGCCCTCTGTCTTCAGAAGAAGAGAAACTGCTCGCTGCTTGCTTACCTGATCTCAAGAAGAACATTGAGAAGGGCAAAGCTTTCGTTGCTTAGAAGTACACGTACAGCAGGACATGTAGACTTCGACGTACAAAACAGATTTTTTAAAATCTCGAATTGGATAATCGACTGATAACCCATGAACAGCTAGCTACTGATGTAAGAACACGCCAAGCCACAAGCGTGCCTCTGATCATGATCGCGATGGGTGTGGTGGCGCCAACTTCTCTGCATTTCCGAGGCACCGCTCCTACCTACCGAGGGAAGTGCCGTCTGAAATTCATTGCCTCTTTGCATGCGATGCGGAACGTCAAAGTTTGACCTTGGCGTCACAGAAGGAGCTCGTGCAACCTGAATTCAAGAAGAAGAGAAGCTGTATTCTACCCTGGATGGGTCGCTGGTATGTCGATCACCCCGGAGTAGAGTCAACAAGACATAAGTCTTATCAAGTAGGTTCGTGCATTCTAGCCTCTGCTCGTTGTCCGCTGCGGATAGTCATCTGCCGCGACCCTTTCGTTCCGGTGTACGGTAGTGCCAACTGCTCACATCAGTAAGCGTCGCTCACCGTAGGAGAGAATCGGAAGGTCGTCCCAGTAGTCTATTCTATTCACCGGTGATATACGCATTGACATTAGCTGTCTTTCAAGTCAATTTCGGCGCTCATGTCCAGAATGTGTGGCCTTCAATTTCCTGTAGCGAAAGCTAGTGAGTCGCAACAACCGGATTATCCATTCGGCTTGCATATCTAAGTCTCCGACTGGCTCGATAGAACCAATGCGACTTTCGCTCCTTTCGTGGGTGAACAATTCAAAAAACTCATACGCAAGATCTGATCGAAACCAAGGGGGATTCGTCTTATCGTCGCTGGCTGTCGAACAGACGGCGTACAAGCCGGCTTCCAGTCATTTTGGTCTTCCGACACGCTCCCTCGGCCTCTGAAGAAGAAATATATGGGCGAGATTCTCAAAATTGTACATGTATCTGCCCGGTATTCGAACCTCCCGGCCCTGGAAATGAAGTGGACAGTGGCGTTTGATTATTTCGCCGGTACCTGGACGGTTTGTCTTCTTCATAGCTCGGGCCGAAAACTGCCATTTCGGCAGTGACCAACTCTTTGCATCGGGGTATGAATATCTCAAAGTGCAGTACTGCTGCCGGGCGCGTGCGGATTTCGGCTCCGATCGTTTTAAAAATATCACATCACGAAAACGGAACATGATCTAACAGGTACCACGCATATAAAATAGGTATAAAAATGCATAATATATTCTCTGATCTTTTCCACATTCCTTGCTATGCGTCCTCACTTTCGTTTCTCGACATTTTTGCTTCTAGGCGGTTGCTTGCTTTCTGGTGTTTCTTCGAGATTCGACCCTACCACTTATACAAGAACTACAGCGGCGTGTAAAGCCGTAAAGCGGGACGCCGACCATGCCATTGTCGACATTGAGCTTAGTAGGTCTTCTCTCCTAACCCACTTTTACGGCACTCAACCGTTCTTTCGACACAGGCTACATCAATATCAACCCCAGCGCCAAGACGGCAGTAATACTCGCTCATGGTTGGCCCAGCATCTGGAGCACTTGGGCGTACCAAATACAGGCGCTTGAAGTGAGCGCCGCTCCTAGGTTGTTTTACTGACGCCTAAATATGACTTTCTTAGCACGATTATCATTTAATTGTCCCCGACTTGCGTGGATTCGGACGTTCTTCACACCCCGGAGACGTACAGACATCTGGGACGATGTTCGACCACGTCGGCGATCTCACCTGTATTCTAGAGCATGCCAAAGTGGATAGTGCTATCTGCTTAGGGTAAAGGCTTTAGCCTCGGATCGCGCTATTGGGTGACTGATCAATCATAGACATGATTGGGGCTCCTTGCTCTGCTATGAAGCGGGACGACTACGTCCAGACATTTTCCAAGGAATCGTTGGAGCCGTCGTTCCAGTTAGCCACCTTTCTTCTCTATTTCCTTCTGTTATTGATACCGTCAAAGTATATTTCTTCCGCTGGGCCTTTCGTTCCTGTCAAAGATCTCACGACCGTGTTCCCAAAACTGACTTATCAGCTCTTCTTCGGTTTGAAAACGCCTGATGCTGTCAAGGAGCTGGACAAGGATATTCGCAGGTCTCTTCGGGCGACTCTTCGTGCCAAGTCGAGCCCGCCCCCTGACGAGTTTTTAAAGAGTTCTGAAACGTTCCTAGGGGCATGGAGCGATCATGAGGAGGCGAGTCGTTCCAAGTTTCCGAAATTGGGCTTACGTTAACACTATGATAGATCCCGCCTATTCCGTTTTTATCGCCTGAAGAGGAGGATTACCTTGTAGAAGAATTCAGCCACCAAGGCTTCAAAAACAGTAAGAATTTTGTTGAAGTCGATTGTCATCAATCAAACGTTCTACAGCTCTCCAGTTTTACATGCCAGGAGTAAGTGTGCCGCCCACCATATTTAGGACCTTTGTCAAACGTCTCACAGAACCGACATAGGACATGGAAATTTGCAAACGAGCAGGGTAATCACACGCTCCCGCAGCCTGTCCTAGCGATTTATCCCACACATGTACGCCACCCATTCATGAACTGTTCGACCCGTTATATGATCGCTTGCCTTTACAGGATCCTGTAGCTGACTGGGTCAAGGCCGCGGAAATGCTCAATTCCGCAAGCTTCTTACCACGTCTAACGACCGCAGTGAGTGATGTCATGATTGTCAGTTCATTGTGATTGAGCTGATGGATTTGTATATAGATCGTTGAAGGTTCGCATTGGATACAAATGGAGAATCCGGAACCATTCAACGTTGCTTTGAAGAGTTGGCTGGAGGCTAACTTTGGGGGTTTGGGTCGTGCTGAAGACGAGCTTTAATTGTTCTATGCATTATGGATAGACGAAAGGAAAAACTGTACTCGACATGTACTACTCTACTCTAACTGTGTCATTCTGTGTACATGTTTTCCATTCGCTATTATTTATTCATTCGAAGCGGATGTAATGCAATGAGCATTGAGTGAATATAATGTCCAAGATACTGAAGAATGTCCCCGCCTGACCGCCACAAGGATCTGTTCAGAGATGTTTGCAGGTATCACAAAGTCCATTAATGCCTACAGAATGGTATCTATCGTCCCACTGAAGCGCAACCAGAATTCGGGGCTAGAGACAGGGGTCTCCTAGCCGAATAACTTTTTCGTCTGACCTCCTCTGATTTTCCCTCGTAAAGATCTCTTCTAAACGCGCCAGGGACGCTTATATCGTCAAACAAGCCGCCGACGATGGGACATATTGTGTCTGATTCCGGGAGCGTCCCATTTATGAAGTAGTCCCTGATGTAGCCCTCCGTGCAAGGCGAGTTAGCGGCGATCGAACAATGCTACGTCATTAGATTAGAGGTACGACGTTGGCAATATCGTTATACTACGCACTCCTGGTGAATCTTGGGTTAGGACGACAGAGCCATCGAAACCGGAGGCCATCTTTTTGGCACTAAGAATGGGTAGATGAGTTGGGTAGACTTTCTGGACTTATGCATCGCTTACGCAGAGAGAGGCGCGACGGGATCTATCGTTACCACCGGTAAGGCATCTCGATGTCGATGGGGTCTTTAGCATAACACTCACCGGCTGTGTTAGCAACGAACAAAATGGGGTAGCTTGTGTTACCCGTGAATGGGCCTGCCAGTCGAAGAATGTAAGCGTCTGTTTGTGAACGTGCCGATACAACCTCACCCCGGAAATTTGTTTTCGGATAATCTGGCCATCCTCTAGTAAAATAGTGAGGTCGACGAAAAGAATGACCGGAAGGTCATTAGGACGTACGAGCAGCCAATTCTAATGCCAGCCCAGATACTTGCCCATTCAAACTGAGCAGAAAGATCAGCGTAGTACTCTTCTGCCGCCTCCACGTTTCTTGGAACGGGTAGGCCGTCGTTACATATGATGGCAATCATGGAATCTTGCACAGAGGCTGTGAGCAACGCGGAAGGATCGTCGCAGGAGCATTCGAATGGGGAAAAATAAGTCATGTTGAAGATGATATCTCCGTTCCCTTGAGCCAGATCTGAGAGTCCCTGCGCCAGAGTCAAGAATGAACTTTGTGGCGTGTATAGAGCGGCGAAGACCGAATAATGCATTCGCGCGTAGTCAACTACACCGTAGCCTGTCGGCAGGCGTACCGGAAGCGGTCTAGCGCGAATGGCTGTGTAGAGATCATCGAGGTTCTGCTTTATTGTATCGGGACTCGAGGCGTAGAAAGGGCATCCATCAGGACCGACTTGAAAGCATCCGTCAAAGAACGTCTGCAAGGTTTTGTTAGAATCCAACAAGTTGTCAGACCATAGCGCTAATATATAGTCAGCTGACGCGCTGTACTTCTCTGTTCAAATGACTAACTGGCATAGTAGTTGTCCGCGTCAACCACACCATCTAGAACCATTCGTTCAATCTTGTCCTGTGAAATGTTTTTTTTCTCCGAGTCAGAGGAAGTCATTGAACATAGAATCACCAATGTCCACCCACAGGAAACATAGCGGCGAAGGTCACGCCCAATACGGTACCGTACCTGTGCAATTCAGAAGGATCGATCACTCTGATAGTTCAGACGGCCCAATGAGACGTACGAAAATCCCCAATATTGCAGTTTTTCGCGCCCGTACGCTTCAGTGATTTTCAGCATATCGCGAGCGGTCTGATCGGTATTGATATGTGCCAATATCCCAGTATCCCGTTCGGCGGCCAGCTGTCCAGTAATGGTAGCCTGCGCCCACGCGTTCGCAACACCATCCGGGCGGCCCATAAGCTCAACCGCTATATTATAACCCCACAAAGCGCGCTCGACACCCGTTTCGTAGAAAGATACACGTGTAGACCGCGCGACACCTAGAATTCCAATCCAATTAATAACTCGTCGGGAAAATAGTGGGAAGATGGGGCCGTACCACGGGGATCAAAGCCGACGATGTCATATTGGTCTTGGAACATTTGAGAGTAATAGACACCCTGCTCAAGCACGTAATCAACGCCACTTCCACCAGGACCGCCGTCGTTGAATAGAAGTGGTCCTTTGTAATCGGTAGAATTCACGGGAAGAGGAGAAGGGTATTGAATGATAGCAAGCACGATAGTTTCATTAGAGTCCGGGTTGGAGTAATTGAGAGGAACCTGTGTGCCATTCGCCATGGAGTGAGATGCGGTGAATACTACTATCATCTAAGATGAGCCCCACCTTCAGATTTGAACACTGAAACCCAGTGTAACAATCCACCCATTCCAAAGCGTAGCTCGCTGGGAGCTGGAGCAAGCGTTCGGTAAACCAGAACAAACGAATTAGTGTTTACGCACATCCAGCCACGCAAATGATTGGGAGTCTTGACCCAAAGTTTGAACGAATGTGCAAACCGAAAAGGTGGACAGAAGAAGCCCACGGCTGGAGATTTTCATCGTTCAAGTCCAGCCTTCTTGATATGAAAGTATGTCCGAAAGAACCGCGGTTGGTATTGACCGTGAAAGACCAGTGTGTATACCCAGCATTTCTCTTTTTAAATACTTATGGGGCATGCATGTGGAGCAACATCATGTGGCATGATGCTAACGACATTGTCAAACAACACATTTGCCGTCGTCGCGCTGGGCCCACGACCTGAACACAGTGAATATTTTACGCGCATACGAGACGCGTTTCAAGTAGAATGGATGGGATTTAGCTTTATATCGACTTTTCGCAAAGAACATTACTGCACTACGAGTAGAGAGCGCTCGAAATGCGGTCTGGTCAACTGTCAGTGATTACGTGATCGTGCCTTTTCCCGACCGAAATACATATGGATGAAGCCGCGAGGCTGCGTCAGCAATATCTAGCCGAGGGGGACGCTAAACGTTGCCGTAATAGTTAGAAGAACCGACGGCAGCCGTCTATACACAATTTTGAGCTAAACCAAAAGAGCTTGGCCAAGAATTGGTGCTGCCTTTTCGATCTGTTTTCAGCTCAGGATTTGTACGTTCCATTCTCGTTTCCTTACACGCGACCAGCCAATCATAGACTCAATCATCCCAAGGTCGCATTTAGTCTTGATGGTCATGAATTGATATCACCTCACAGCAAGCGACGTCGTGGGTTGGCACCGGATATTTTCCGTTTGATACTTCCTCGTTTCGACATAGAAAATGCCAAGCATCATAGCTCAACCGATTCCAGCGTCTAGAGCATAGATGTTATACGTATGGATAAGGAGCAGCGGGCAACATGTGAAGTAAGCGGAGAACGACCGACTGCAATCGTTGACATGACCACCATTTCAACCCGAATCTGACACTGACTTCTTCGAACAGTAGTCATTCCTAAAGATATACCGGTTCTTCCGGCCAATGCTTACTACACTGAGTTATTATTCACCATATTCCGACCAGCGATGTTAGTAATCACACCCACGAACTGGAATCTATTGCGCTTAGACTCGACTCTGCATTGAGTTATCACGGAACGCAACTCTTAGGCGTCATTGCATTCTCGTACTTCGTCACCTGCGCGATATCAATATTACCTATGCACAAGCGCATATAAATGCTGCTTTTTCATGCCAGGTCTTCACTAGTTCATCATGTCTTCTGGTGTCACCACCGACCTCTTCTTCATGCAATCACCCGCTAACGGCGAACGGGCCAGCGCTACGCTGCAAAACAACAGGAATTACGCTCTGGAGCCTAAAGTAGTGACCGTCGAGAATTATCGGACAAAACTGAGCTCGGAGTCCATCACTCTCGACACCGCCGGATTCCAGCTCTTTTCCAACCGTCCCACTCAGTTCATCAAAGATGGGGAAGTGCAGGTTGAAGGGTACTATGACGAAAGCATTGCACTTCTGAAGGAAGTCACGGGCGCGAGTAGAGTTGTACTATTCGATCATAGTGAGTTTCCGCTTTGATTCAAGTTCGCAACTGTACTTATCCTATGAATCTACAGCCATACGCCGCCGCCGCCCAGGTGAAACTGACAGCCTAGGAAAGCGCCAACCAGCTGCTGCCACCCATGTCGACCAAACATTCAAGGCGGCCATCGCTCGGGTCCATCGTCATCTTCCCCCCGAAGACGTTCCAGGGCTGTTGGCCAAGCGTTTCCAGATTATCAATCTCTGGAGACCGATTGAGAACCCAGCGACCGACTGGCCTCTGGCACTATGCCATTTCTCTAGCGTAGACCCAGAGAAGGACGTCGAGGAAATTGATCTGATTACCCCCGACAGGAAGGGGGAGGTATATGGCATTAAATACAACGAACGTCAGAGGTGGGGTTATTTCAAGGATATGCGACCTGACGAGTTTGTTCTCATCAAATGGTTCGTGTTCTCTCCTTCCTGCTTCCCCCAAACTCTGGTTGATATAAATACTTGGTTTGTAGTAATGAATCTCTTCAAGATGGAAGTGTTGCTCTTTACACGCCCCATACAGCCTTTGATGATCCTACTACCCCAGAAGGAACACCGTTCAGGCAATCCATTGAGATCAGAGCATTGGTATTCTATGATTGAATCTTGTAGTAGCATACTGTGCCTTCAAGCCATTGTGGGGTGATTTGGGCATATATTTTCTTGTACGAATCGACATAGTGTATTTCATGCTGTCATTACATATTTCAGATGAAATCGAATTCGGGAAATGAGGACTTATTGACACACTGAAGGTCCATAATCGTGTTGGTTGCTTTAGCAAGTCCAGCTGACTTACTCAGGAGCAATACCGTCATAGATGCCGGCCGAGAGAGAAACGAGTGGTACTGGCACCATATTATTTGAGCTCCCATATTGACTTCTTAAGAGAACGGAGTTACTATCAGACATCACTGATTGAGCTAATAGATCTCCCACCCCGCACAGCGTGCGAGCAGAAAATGCAAGCATAGCCTGGCTGTTGGCACGTACTTCTCGGGAAAAAAAGGAAACGAACGACAGCCATATTTTCCATGATGGTCATTAGTCCCCGCGATGGGTAATTCGCCGCATGATGCAATAGTTGATCCCTGTTTTTAGCCGAAATTCATTTTGAACTCATTGCTCCCGGAATCCCATGGCAGGATCAAGATCGTGGTTTTCCAATAATCACGGGAGTTTTTCGATATCAGATAGAAAACGGCTGTTTCGAATATATCGTTTGCAATATATCTAATTCCGCGCAGAAGTAGTGCGCAGCCCGTAATCTACCGTGGGAGATTTTCTGATGACTGATTGTAGCAGACGCTTGCATCATGGTGCAGAACCTTATTTAACTTTTTCAGTTCAAACCCTCGCTTATTGAAACATGATAGGTAGGAAGGAATATTCCAAGCGAAAGCACAAGGAGAAATCAGTTACAACCAAAGGGTTAAGCGATGAGAAACAGAAGAAGAACGCTGGTCCGTCATTTCATCTACTAATCGCATTCATACAGGCCTCGAACAAATCATCTGCTTCATGCGTTCAGAACTCGGTTGAATTTTCGAAGTCATTAATGAATGACCCTGGCACAAATGTGACTCCATGATATTGGGCCTGATATTGACAACGAGAACTTCCTCCGAGAATGCAGAACCTCCCTCACATAGTTTCGGGGGTGCATGAACGGTTGATTTGGAAGTAAGAAGGTTGTGAAATCTTCTGTCAGTCACAAATCAAAGAAATAAAGTATTGCACGACTTGCAGCTCCGTCCGAGTCGGCAAAAACTGTAAGCGATTCTCTCTAAGGTCCTCGCAGCAACCTCGCAGCATCCTGAACCTTCGTTAGATCCGCTTCAGACACATGGGCTGAAGCGGGGGTTTGTAGCTTCAGTAGATGCCGAGACAACGGTGACGTCACTACGTGTTAGAGGTAAAGCACGATCACGTGTATACTGTGACCTGTCGAAGAATTGGAAAGTCCGGACAAATTTGACCTCCCAAGTCCCAAATGTCATAAGTCTGGACAAAGGGGCTGGACCTTCAGCGCACAGAAAATTAGACAACGGGAACATAATTGGAATCTTGGGTGAACAATTGCAAAAAGATTTTTTGGCCATATTTTGGTGGCATTTTGAGAGGTCTGATTGGAAGTCCGGCTGTAGGGATAACCGGGGGTTCTCCTGTCGAAAATTTCAACGGAGATGACCTACTTTTCCTCCCCTTCAACAGTGCAGCTCATCGATATTTCTGAGCAATCACGACCTAGTATGGTCCGCATCTCTTTGAAGGTCTGTGAGAGTACCGAGAGAGAGCAGTGTAACTACCGGTAGACCTCGTCGACTAGCTGATTCAGAGCCTTGGAGAACGACTGTCCAGGCTTCGCCACCAACGAAGCTCCGAAACTTGATAAGCTACGGATAAACACAATCAGGATCAGGATCTGCACGAGGACGTAGTTTGATTTCTAGCCTTGTCTTCGTCAATCATGATCCCTTCGATGAAGTCGCACTGACCTTAACCCCCTGTAGTGAGAAGTCGAAGATCAGACGGCCCGGGATTCCCGCTCAAGCAAACTGCTTATGTCAACACATCTTGTCCGGTATGCGTGCTAACAATCCAAATCCTCTCAATCCTTTATCATTTTACGCGTTCTCAAAGTGGTCTGGAATATTTCTCCTGTTCCTGTCTTTATTTCCGACGGGAGCGAAGGAATTGGCTAGAAATTGGAGGCTTGAATGTGAGTAAGGCCAGGTTCTGCGGCCTGTGTCGGCATGGCGACAACTTCGGACACTATTTCAAAGTCCTCTTCGTTATCCTTTGTTTTCGAAGGTTTTCACCAAGTTTTTGGACATCAAAGCCTAGCATGATAGCAAAGCAAGAAGAAGTCTATGACGTTTCTATACTGGCGGTGAGCTCGCTCGGCTGTTCGAACGAGGACAGGAGGCTCAAAAATCACGTAAACTTCGGATTCTCTACTCCAATTCCAGGCAGTTCGCGGGCGGAATCTCATACAGCACCAAAGACTGAGGATGTAATCTCCCGATTATCTACCTCACTGACTCCTATTTCACCCACAGGATTAATCTCTAAAACCCCTCCTCGCAAGAAGCCTCGGATGATGATAGTTGAAGTTGTTGTTCCCACTTTGCGTGCGGTACTTGGCGACCATCCAAAGACTGGAAGGGTTGGGGATGATGTTGATGAAAAAAAACTGAAAAACTTGTTAATGTACGTCGGTCGATTCTCGTTATTGATTCGTCCTCATATGACTTCTGCAGCTCAAAGTAAAAAAGAAAGCGCCAAATGTAGAATTATTCCTAGATGCTGTGTGGAGCTGTTTGAAAGGGATCGAGATGTCCGTGATGTGGTCATCAGCAGACTCTTCATGTCAAAAGTCTACGGCGGCAATTCTCAGGAGACTTTCCCTCGGGTGGCCCAAAAATTTCTGGGCGAGCACCACATGGACGATTTCATGTACTTGAATCTCGACATGAATCCTCACGCTCCCCAAGTGCCCGGAGTACCGGGACCTGCTTTTTGCCGCCAATAGTTTGGTTGAGCCAGTAAACCAGTCATGGCTCGAAATCCAGAGAGTGTTTTCCCGGATTAACAGTGGGCAGTGGGAATACATGGGGCAGTATCAGATGGAGTCGGTTGCTTCGCTGACAACGGAAGAATGGAATGAGCAGCGCAACACAGTGAGTACTAATCCTACTAATTGCGCGGTTGCATCTATTGACCCGGGAATCAGGTTCGTTTAGTTTGGGCGTCAAAGCTCTCGACCTCAGGATGGGGGACTGAATGCAGGGCCGTCGCGTACCTACACGAGCAACTCGGTCGGAATCTGACCAGGAGAGAAGTCGAAGACGCTCTCCAAGATGGAAATCAACACAGAAACGTCACCAGGGAGCAGATAGCTGAAGCGTTCCTTAAAGGTTGGGTGGTAAGGCGACAGTTTTTTCATTTCTAAAATCAATAACACACCCATTTAGACTATGGCCGTATGGGCGATGAAGTGCGTGGGTTATGATGTCGATTTTCAACGCGAACTTGTCGCCAAATATGTGACATAGGATCCGCTCCCTCCCAGTAAGCCCAAAGGCCCTGGAAGGCCGCGCACGGGAACAAAGCGGAAGCGCAAGGAGCATCGGACCCTTGATGATGAGGAGGACGAGAAGCCAATTGCAGACGATCTAGTTTATCGTCCCAGAGGAACAAAGACTCGTCCAGGTCTAGCATAATCCGTACACGTTTCTGTCTTGGTATTCCATTTATTATCCCTCGATACTTTCAATCTTTTCATCATAACATCATCTCCTGCTATGCTCGTTTGTTGGAGCATTTTCTCTGCGATTAAGTAAAAAAGCAAGTCATCCACGTTCACGCAGTCGAATTTTGCAAGCCCACTTTAGAATTGCTTCACCATTGATTCGATGACCCAGAATGTACCACCGGCATGTAATACCTTGGAGAGTGTGTAGTGAAACTGGATATGCTTTCAGTTTGGTCGCATTTCTGGATAATCCTCGAAGGTGATAACTTCGATACGGCGCTCGTACAGTACGATTAGTGGCTACCAGAGACTCAGAACGGTACTGGTCGAGATGGACAGGCTAGCATCCAGTGAGCATTCGGAACGTATGTACGAGTTACGAGAGATGAAAGACTTGCATCAGGGCGCAACGACTAGTAGAAGCCGTCAAAAAACGAGTGAAAACGTAGATCTAGTGTTATTCCGTTGCGAACGCAATCGACATTAGCGTCAAGTCCAGCAACTTCCTCCTCCGATAGAGCAGCGAAGTAGCATAAAATATCCCAGGTAGCATGCTCTGCCGAAGACTTCTGCATTCAAAGTCAGCGCGACACGAAAGATGAAAAGATTCCGCTGAAACGAGCTCACTTCGCTACACGGCTTTCCAGGCCCCTGCTTCAAGATATGGGTCGGTTTGGTAATCGTCTGAACATAAGATAAAATAAACTAACAGCATCTTCGAAGCGTGATCGAGATGCAGACATCCCGCGTGATAGCCCTTTTCAAGGCTCGGCAATCTTCCTCTGCTCGAGTCACAAAAGTGGGGGGTTGGTGTGTTGCTTGCAATCTTTTCTGTAACCGACCTGCGGAAGTCGTCGGAAAAAGTTGACCATAGCGACGTTGCAGAACCGATACATATACCCTTCTCGTTCATGTCGAAGGTATGAGTCGGAAGTCCTCGAAGAGGCAAGGGCATGGATCGGCGTCACACTACGGAATCGTCATGGCGATATCTCGGGCGGCGCGACCATCATATGGCACGGCGGGCCAGAGTACCTGCGTTCGATAGAGTCAGTTAGATCCACCGTAATCACGCAGCCGTATACTGGCATCCATACAGAGTAGAATCAATGATAACGTACAGTTCCAAAAATGCTGACATGAGAGGGTAAAGGGAAGAAATCAAGAATTCCTAGTATAATCAAGCGAATTATTCATAATGTTGAATGTTTTAAGCACTGGAAAACTACTCGTAGAACATATACGGAGGGCCAGCACTTAGTCCGCTTCTTCAGGATATAACTCGTGCGCAATTTTGTCAGCCTCAGCTTCAGCTTCACCTAATGGCCCAGCTGGTTTTTCCACGGCGACAGCTTCAGGAGCTGGCGGTTCTTCATCCTTGACCATCGGCTTCTCCTCAGGCTCTTCATCCACGACCTTTTCTTCCACCTGAACCTGCGTCTTCGCCTCCTCCTTAGTAGGCTGCCCCACCGAACTGATCTCCTTCTCCTCCGAGATCTCCATCTCCTGGTGTACAGCGTTCGGAGGCTGACTAGGCACCTGCTTCACCGGTGCCCCAGCAAAGATATCTCGTCCTGGCTCGGGCTTGCCCACACCTATGGTCGTCGTGTGTTCCTCAAGGATGACGGCCTCCGGCTCCTGCGCGTTGTCTTCCACAATGATAGCTGCCCTGCCGCCTGGCTCGCCACCGATGGTCGCCACCGGAACGTTCGACTTTTGTGGTGTTGGCGCTGCGACGGTGCCGTAGAGGGAATACTGCGTCGATTTTAGTGCTAGTCAAGGTGAAGATGATAGAGGAGAACATACATCATTTAGGAAGTCATTGCACGAAAAGTCCCACGTCTTTAGCCACTTGGAGTTCTTGCATTCGTCCTTCGTCCACGCATTTCCGTACGCCAACGGACTGAAGTGCACAAAGGCCCAGATGGAAATGATGATGAGGACTGCAGCAATTTGCAGCCGCACCCTCGGGCGCAACGTCGATGTGACAAGATCAAACACTCCGCATAACAGCAGGATGGCAAAATATAGCGCGGGGAAGTAATGGTGAAGGAAGAGCTGTCGGCCCATTAGGAAGAAGGGGAAATAGTGTAGAGACCAGCCTAGAAACAAGAAACCACAAAGGGAGTCATATTTGACGACCTTGGCTGGGACGAAACATCAATGCAAATCAAAAACAAGGCAGCGAGTTCCTACTGCTAGCAAAATCCTGGTATCCTCGCTTTGCCCGTAGAATGAGGAATCCCCGAACGAAAATGTACGACGCGACGGAAAGGGTGCTCAGCCACCATATAATAGGGTTGCCGATCAGATATATCTGACGATGATCCTTGACCCAGAAGTTCTAATATCCAACAATGTCAGTCGTAGGTGTCATATATCGCGCAATGCACTCACGATACCCCGCCGCAGACGAGGCCAAGAGTCCGGACGAGAGTCAAAAGTGTGCCGATCCGTCAGTCCAGCGTTCGTCGTCCACATCACTTGCTGCAGCTCCACGAACTTGGCGAAGAATCCAGGCAATCGATAATTAACCTTAGGTGCATCCTCAGGCACTAACAAGTTCCATCAGCAGCACATCTCTGAACTCGAAATGTTGCTTACATGCAGGATGCGTCGCAGTCTCGACAAACCACAATGAATTAGCCCTCACCGCGTTCTTGTTACACGTAACCTCCTGCTGTTCGTATCCCCATTCCGGAAGCTTAACCTTGTGCGAGAACAAGTAGCATCCCTGCAGAGCGTGCCGCAGTCTGAACGTCGTCCTCAGGGTTCGCAGTCGTTTGCTCGAGTCTTTATCACGGCGGTCGCCATGCTCTATCTCAACGATCCAATCATCGTTGCCATCCCCTTCGAACCCGGGCATCCCGTAGCCTGAAACCTCATTCTGGAATTCGACGTCCGATATGGGAGGGCGGATATCATGGGAATGGAGAGCTTTCTCTGTGGAGACGTGGCGTAGTCGGATTCGGGCGCCAGGATAGATGTGGTTAAGGGGCTCGGTGGACCAGTCGGCTGGTGAGTAGTTGGCGCTTGCATTGATTATCTTCCAATCGTTGTTGGAATCTCGGTGGGGATACAGGGTGATCTGTTGCTCTACCATACACCGTTAGTCTTGGATATATATAAAAAGGGTACGGCGTACGTTTGGAACCACCAGGGTAGTTGTGCGGGTGCGAGTGCAGATAGCCGCCCTGTGTATTGACGTGTCGGATGCTCACGGTAGAGCCAATGGCAATATCGGCATAGGTGTCTGCCATACCACGGCCGCCAAGCGTGTGCTGAAATTCAGAACTCATGAAACCATCTCCCTCTCCAGAACTTCCGAGGAGCATGAAATGAATCTGGAACATGGTCATGTAGAACAGGAGTGGGAGGACGATGAGACAGAGCGCGCGAGCAGTGAAATGTTTCATGAACAAGCGTGGTGACACTCTTAGGTCTCCAAGGAGGTACCATAGTTGTTGTACGGTGCTCAGACCGACTGTAGCAATGGTGAAGAGTCCGACCCATTTACAGCTGACGACGGCACCAAGGGATAGCCCGGACAGGGTAAGCCATGACCACCACGTCTCAGTAAATGGCTTATGCTTATCCTCATTGCAAAAGCCAACCCAAAAGAAGATGGTAAGTGCAGTAAAGAAAATGAGGGGAGAGTCGAGGAGGATATGCCTCGACTGTGTGATCATGCCGTTTTCGAATGTTATGAGTAAAGAAGCCAGTAGCGCCGTTGTCGCACGACATTCCAGAGCGCGTAGGGTAAGATAAGAGAGGGGAACGGTCGCGACACCAAGTATTGCAGGGACGAGACGCATTGCGACATAGGGTACATCATCATATACTCTGTTCGTCGGTCAGTCGACAGCCCAGTGAGCAACAGAAAAGGCACGCACTTTCCAATATCCTTGAAGTCAAAATGCCCATCATATCCAAATATAAAAGCAGCCAGTGTAATTAACAGCTTGGCCAACGGTGGATGCACGTCCACGAAGTACTGTGTCTTGATGTACCTGCTGGCAAATTTACCAAAGTGTACTTCGTCGAACCTAGGCGTAACGTCAGTGAAATGCCCAAAAATTGGAAAATGCGCGCACACTACACTGTTGGGGCTCGATAGATGGAACAAACGTACAGCCGCAGCAACGATGATAATGACGACCAGCAGCTTCAACTCTCCCGACGTCAAGCTCAATCCTCCTGGTGAGTGGCTCTTGCCTCTATTGGGCACAAATCCTTTCGACGCTGCCTCTCTCCGTGCATCCGCATCCAAGTGGTCCTGCCGAGAATGTGGAAATCGCTGGGGCGCCGCGTGAGGTACTCCTGGTGGAGGAGACGCCGGTCGCCGTGCTCGAAAGGACATCAATACTATGAGTATTGACTAGTAAAAGTCGAGGAGAAAGGAAGAAAATCTGGTATTAGATGGAAGTAAGTGGTATAAGTGCAAGTTTGGCCGAATTTGGCGCATATGTGGCTGCGCTTGCGGAAACATTTCGTCGAAAAATACACAAAAAATCAGGAAAATACCGATAAAATCAGAACTACAAATGGAGGACTTTCATGGCATATATAACTCTGACTATATTTCACAAATTTCCTACAGATTGAAACATTAGTATACGATCAAAAGCAACACGTTACAGTACCTGGTGGCGGTGTAAAGAGGACCTGGGAAGTTATTTCCTTATCGAGAACTCCTAGCCCTCCACCTTTCTTCCTAACTCCCACTGTCTATTCCTTCTCGGGGACATTTCGAGCCACGAACCAGCAATGTCAATGCAAATATTTGGAGGGCAGGTGCGTGAAATTGTCTTCAAACGTATAAGACCGTAATATGAAGCAAGAAATTTCCAGGCTACGGAGGAAAAAGCCGAAAATGCGCGTCTCTCTTCGTTTGTCGGTGCTCTCGCTCTTGGGGACCTTGTAAAATCCACGCTTGGCCCTAAAGGAATGAACAAAATTCTCCAGTCGGCATCGACTGGGGAAATCAACGTAACGAACGATGGGGCGACGATCCTGAAAGCCATTCAGCTGGATAATGCCGCCGCTAAGATTCTGGTGAATATCTCCAAGGTTCAGGATGATGAAATTGGAGATGGTACGACGAGCGTATGCGTGTTGGCGGCAGAGCTGTTAAGGGAGGCCGAAAAGTTAATCGCGCAGAAGATACATCCCCAAACCATTGTCGAAGGATATCGGATTGCGAGCTTGGCAGCGTTGAAGGCCTTAGAGGGCTCTGCTATGGATCATTTGTGAGTCGCATGTTTTTGATACAAGGAACCTGCTGCTGAAAGGCATGTTCTGTTCAGCTCGGACCCAACAGTGTTTCGTCGAGATCTTTTCAACATTGCCCGAACAACACTATCGTCAAAAGTTTTGTCGCAAGATAAAGACTACTTTGCCAACCTTGCAGTTGATGCCGTCCTGAGGTTAAAGGGATCCACGGACCTCGACCACATTCAAATAATTAAAAGGGTCGGCGGGAAACTCACTGATTCGTACTTGGATGAAGGTACGACGCCTTCGATCTGTATTGGAAAGTTCTGACTGCCTTTTACTTCCAGGTTTCATTCTTGACAAAACTATTGCGGTCAACTCCCCAAAGCGACTGGAGAACGCTAAAATACTCATCGCCAATACCTCCATGGATACTGACAAAATCAAAATCTTTGGTGCCCGAGTGAAGGTAGATGGTACCAGGAAACTTGCTGAACTAGAACGAGCTGAGAAGGTGGGTGCTTATCGGTACCAATGGGATACTTAGTAACTAAAAGCATAATATAGGAGAAAATGAAGGCCAAGGTCGAAGCCATCGCGACTCATGGGATCAATTGCTTCGTCAATAGACAGCTGATATACAACTATCCCGAGTCTCTTCTGGCGGACAAGGGTATCATGGTGATCGAGCACGCAGACTTTGAAGGTGTCGAGCGACTCTCACTCGTTACCGGCGGAGAGATCACAAGTACGTTTGACCAGCCAGAGCTGGTCAATCTTGGACAGTGCGACCTCATCGAAGAGATCATGATTGGCGAAGATAAGGTATGGAACCGAATTTCGTCCCTAGGCAGACCATTATCCTAATTCCGTTTATCCATAGCTCATCAAGTTCTCAGGCGTTGCTGCTGGTGAAGCCTGCACTGTCGTTCTCCGGGGCTCCACGAATCAGATGGTAGATGAGGCCGACCGGTCGTTACACGACGCGCTCTCAGTACTCTCACAGACCGTCAAAGAGACGCGGACCGTGCTAGGCGGTGGCTGCTCAGAAATGTTGATGAGCTGTGCTGTTGAAGAGGAGGCCAGGAAGGTGAAGGGAAAGAAGGCCATTGCTGTTGAAGCTTTTGGCAGGGCGCTGCGACAAATTCCGACGATCCTTGCTGACAATGCGGGGTATGATTCTTCAGACTTGGTTACGCGGCTTCGAGCGGCGCACTATGAAGGCCAGACAGATGCCGGGCTGGGTACGAATTTTATTGACCATCTTATTTGTTCATTCGCTTACGTCGTCTGGCTGTAGATATGAATGAGGCAACGATTGGCTCAATGCGCAAGCTGGGTATTACGGAGAGCTACAAGTTGAAGCGTCAGGTAGTTCTCAGTGCCAGTGAGGCTGCAGAGATGATAATACGTGTGGATGATATCCTGCGCGCTTCTCCCCGACAACGGGAGGCTGTTTAGTCGGTTGTTTAGAGTGATTGATAACATTGCTAAATTCTACCTTGTAATATTTGATCAAATGTTCCTTTTCATGGCTGAGTTCCTTTGTAACAGTTATGGGCTGTCTTCGATGTGGCTGGCGGCTATGTCTGTTGTCCCAGTTCGATGCTGACAACAAAGGCACTCAATTTCGGTTGATGAAAAGACAACTACCTGCAACAATTACCTTCGGAGGGTTTTCTGTGGATCATGTGGAACATTGCTGGCTCATAGCCGGCTTATAAGATGTATGCCAGACGTCGGAAAATCTTGGTGCTACCTAGAAAATGAAGCGTACTTCGAGCTTCGCAGTTTTTGCAATTGCTTCTGCAATGTTTCCCCATATAATATGGACATGATGAAATCTTGTTGTCCCATAGACAACAAAGTAGAAAAGAATGATCTGAACGAGAAGGTTTCTGCTGATTTCCTGGTTTTTTACCATTTCAGAAGGTACAATTTGAAACCATATTCGAGACGACTCCCCAGGGTGGTCTGGTATAGATATTGCAATTAACTTGATTGAAATGGTGGTCATGGCGGGAGTACCGTGAAGGATGAAGCGATATGTCAGGATCGTTATAAAGATATCGCACCGACATTTGAATTGGAACTTCGATATAGGATGTCCACCGTCCCCATACATACAGTGGATATGGGTACCGCATATACGGACCAGTACCCGCACCGTCAGCACTTTAGAATCCCTCTTTGATTGTTATATAGTTATCGTACGGTTACCTCAAATATGCTGAGATTTCTATTTATTTCGGTATAGAGTGAGTCAATATGATGAAATAGCGCATTTTACCAACATAACTTACCTCAACGCAGTCACCCTCACTGAATACGGGGTCCGTATGGGTACCCGTACCGTACCGTCGGGGTCCTTTTCCCATCTGGCTTACGGTCGTAACAGTATACGGTACGGTGGATATCCCTACTTGGATATCAATAGTCACGTAGTCGTGCTTTGCCGCCGTAAATTTCTTAGGAGTAAGAGTGGCATCATAAAGGCTGCAGAAAGGGGCAACTTGCCAATGAACCTGTTATTACGACGCCGACCGTGGATATAAACAACAGAAGTAAAAGTACGAGCGAAGTCGTCCTCATCGATCGCGTCACACCTTGCCGGTCGCAGTCAGACTTTTCGCTGGTCCTTTCACTGTGGTTGCTTTCATGAATTCGCCTTAAGTCCTGAATCAAAAACATCGCCATTGTTATTTTTCTTTTTGTAAGTTGCACAAATTCTTTCACATACAACTTATTACTAGTTAGTGAAGGCACAAGTATCGCAAATACATTAGTCGCTTAATATCAAACTAAGTACAACGGAACTAAAAGACGAAAAGAGCGCCATTTTATCTTAAACCCAGTTACCGGTAGCATGGACCCATATTGGGGTAATCGACTGCGTAACTGGTCCAAACATTATCCATCCACGCCCGTTCCTTGGAGCGGAGATGTCAAAATTTTGGCCCGCTATCCCGGCGGGGTGGTACGCGGAGGTCAGGTCACGAACATCCATGTATGATTCGCAAAGGGGAGAAATTTGAAAGGGGAAATTGTGGGCGAGCAGTAGCCACGAATACATGCTGCCGGCCTGAAATAACAAAAATGACAGTGAAGTCGGCGCCGTTGGCTGTGATGGTCCCAATGACAATATATTATTATCCGACGGTTTTCGCGAGGGGGAGTTTTACGATCTTGTAGGCAAAATGGGAGTGAGCGGGGTAGAGAATCGAGCAATTGCATCTTCAGTTTTGTTATCGTGTGAGATTCTGCCTATTACGTTAAGTGAACCGTCTAGAATTGGAGAGAAGAATCGGGACGGCAGGTGGTCTTCGGACGTTTTTAAAAGTCATATTGATATCCGAAATAATGCCGACGTAGTGCCGATAATCAGTATGAATATTTCATGACCAGAAATCGTTCGAACGCTGAATCCATTTGCTGCCTGCATAGCCCAAATGCGAAGGTATGCCCTATCTCTTTTACAAATGGATAACAAACACTCGAAATTCATCCTATTCGTAGTACAAATGCCATCAATAGATGGCCTCGATGTTCAATGTTGTCAACAACGATGCAAACCCTTGCAAAAGATGCATCTCCTCCAAACAGAACCAATCATCTACAGCATCACAATCGTCTATCTATGACAAAATCCACTTGAAGCAAGTCAGTAATGAAAGGTACACCAAGGTTATTCTGCTGACCTATCATTGGATGACCAGTAGGTCCCATAAATCCCGCTACGGAAACCAACAGCCTCTTGTCATCAGACGAGATGGTAGCGACATTTTCAGCCGTAAATCCACAATTGGCGTGGAAACTGACATCTTGATTCTATATAGCTTTCTTTTGGGATATGAATCCAACTTGCCTCGTCTGCGATACTCCAACCAACAAATGATGCACAAGATGCAAGGGCGCCTATTACTGCAGTAAGGCGCACATCGTGCAGGTGCAACTTTTCCTCGCGTATTTTCCAGAATTTCTAACGGTGACTGTCTGCAGGACTGGCCTGCTCATAAAACGTACTGTAAAAGAGTCAGCGATGCGGGTACCAACATCTTTGATGCTATCCTCTTTGGCGTCAATGAAACAAAGCCCCGCCTTATCAAACTTCCTTGGTAGTACGGCCCCCTTGAACATGAATTTAGTGGAAGGTGGCATAATCTGGACATGGAGCCGTGGTTCAAGGGAAGAGATTCTTTTATTCGCACCTATTATGTTCAGACTTTCGGCGCCAATGGACCAGTCCTTCATCATACTCTCGCAGTGTGTTTCGACGATAACTTTATGATCAATGGCTCCCAGATCAATCGCTGCATTCAAAATGTTACTTTTGGCAATGCTGGGCATCCTTGGGCTGGAAACATTCTGGCCCTTAGGGTAGAGGGATTTAGGTCAGATTGGTACAGTGATACGGTCATGGAGGAGGACTTGGCGCCATTGGCCAGGTACTTTGAGGATTCTTACAGGAAGTAAATAACGAGTTATAGCATATTGTAAATCCCCTTTGGACCTTTTCTTTTTCCTTTTTTCCCTACTTCTTTGTGTATCTCATACATGCGGTAGTAGCGATGACGTGCTATGGATCATTCTACAATATACATCCAATACCACCAAAACACGACACATCCATACTTTCATTCTTGATCGTAGTAGTGTTCACGATTAGGAACGTTGCATGTATGACCTTTTCAATGACCTTGCGAGCTTTTACTTCCCTGAATTGTTTATGAGCTGCCGAATTGGGCAACACCTTGACACCTTAACACTATAATCTTGCTGTCAATACTTTATTCAAAATGGATAGGCATATCATACCACTGTATTATCCCTTTTCCCTTCAGTTAAGTATGACTTGCATTATCTCTATCAGCTACACTCACTGGAAACTTCCACAGAGAAAATTGCACATGGATCATGAAAACCGTCATTGACTTCATCCCTGAAATTTTGATAAGCTTAAGTTGAACGTGGGGATGAATTCAAGTATGACTGGCATGGAAAGTCGTACTTCAAGTATACGTCATTTAAGTATACAGCTTGGAGGATAAAGGCTATTCATATTTGAGAACCATGTTATGAGACCTCGCAGAAATTAAAACATTAAGGGGGAATGAAAATGCCACTGGCTGTAATTCGACATTGTCTTTGCCTTCCCAACCACACTTACTACGCAATCATGGTAGCCTCTTACTTCGTCTGTGAAACTCCAAGGTAGACGCAGTGCTCAGGCTGCCACAGCATCACTTATTGCAGCAGCAAGTACCAAACTCAGGTTCTTCCACTCCCGCTCACTTGAATCGGTGCTCATAAAAATGGCTAGGTCTGGCCCACTCATAAAGATTACTGAAAACTCATCAGGGCACCCCAAGTCACCACCTATGATGCTATCCTCTTCGGTATCAATGAGATCAGGCCCCAAATTATCAAACTCCCTTGATCATGGGGATGGGCTGCGAAGAATTGCATCCAGAAGAGCAATACCAGATATTGGAACAGTAGCTACTGATAGAAGAATATAAGTAGTGTTCTCAGTCGGGCACAGCGTAGGTGAAATGACTGAGGTATATGGGCATCTATAGCCAGGCTATATAGGCAATCGAGTAGCAACAGGAGATGTGTACATATGTGATAAGTAGGAACGAGTGACGATCAAAAAGAGAAGATAAGTCCTCCAACAGTAGCCGTGGTACCAGCAACGCAGAAACATCGTTCAGAGATACATTTGGAGCTACCCCTGTGAAGCTGGGGTACACTCTCGCTGTGCAATACGATGACAAGTTCACGACCAACAGGTCCCCAGTCAATCGTTGCATCTAGACTGTTACTGGAGGTGAGGGTGTGATACTTTGGGCAGGAAATGCTACAGCACTGAGGGCAGAGGATATGTATGTCTATAGGTACAGCGATGCCAGTTTGGAGAAGGATTTCGCGCCGATGGTGCAGTTCTTCAAGGATTATGGGAAACAGCATGGTGGCCAGTAGTGATGAAGGTTCAATTTCCTCGCATCACAACAGCCTACCTGATGACTTGCTACTAGCACCGTTCCCATAGTATATTCGCGTTCAGTAATAGTAGATGTCACATCATGCAGCTCATTCCATGCCATGGTACTATGATCTACATGTGCATTACGTCGTACTGACAAGAGTGAGAATTGCTAGTGAGATAGCTCTGTTGAAGGAGATCCCTAGGTTGATTGACCTACCTATTTTTACGTTACACGCCATCTTTAGCCTTCCTTTTTCGTTCTTTCCTTCATCACTTTCTGATCAAGTATATAAGGCGTACCGTAGTTTTTCCACCCCTCAGTCGTTCTGCTTTTCGCTGTGCCGACCAAGGCGTGTACTGTTATACTTTCTTCATATCACACATGTACTTACATAGCTGTTACAGCCTATATATTTGTTCTCCTGTCAATACGCTCTTCTTTGTAACGTTGGTGAACGATGTTTCCAGAACCAAACACGACTTCTGATAAGCCCTGCCCCCTGCTAAAAAGACCTCTCGTAGCATCATCTGCTGGAAATTCAGTACGTGCATAATATGAGGAACAGGTGCACTGACTCTTTATTCCTTCTAAGCGAATCCAGCGCTCAAACTATGGAAAAAAGCACATGGCATTGCTGCGAGCGTCCTCTGGATGAGCGGAAAGCGCTTCTCAGACGACTCGGTAGTGACCACACGTAAAATCTGAATCTACCGTCTCCTGTATATCAAGTGCCATCAGTTTCATGATTAGTATGATCATGACCACCCCTTCAATAGAACTAAAATCAAAGGGGAAAAAGTCAGATGCCACAATCCTGAGAGAAAACGACGAGCTGCAATAAATCTTGCAAGAGCAGCGTCGCACCCTCCTTCTAACCAGTGAGCTATATCTTCCCCAATAACGCAGAACGACCGTTTAGGCTGAGACACAAACAATATCTGATGTCCTAGAATCGCTTCCAGGCCTCAGAACCTATTCCGGCCTCTCGCGCGCATAGAACTGATTCAAAACTCGGGACATTGTTGCGGTCTGGTTCGTACTGTCGTCAAGCTGCTGGATTGGGCTGCACTTTTCTCTGGTAGAGCGGAGGGCGGTGTGGTGGCCATTGGTAAGGTAGAATTGCCAGTGTCAGAAGCCATGAGCGACAGAGCTATTGACCAGTCAAGAGAAAACAGATCAAAAAAAAAAACTGAAAGGGAAAAACGACGGTTATTTGACCTGTTAAGACGTGAAAATGCCGGATCTCGATGCAGGTAGGTAGTTGGTGATGACGTCAAGCAAGTAAACGGGGCCGGATGCTGGCCAGATATTGCCGCGTCCGTTCTTCCTTCCGTCACCACCATCCCATTGTCGCTTCCTCCAAAGCTCAGAATATCCTCTGCCTCTGCTCTCTGTGCCGCATTGTTTTTCGCTCTATCCACTCAGGATTGCTTTTTTTTTTGTGGATCAACTGGTATAACACGCGTTGTTCGGTTGCCTGACCCAGCTTGACATTGACTTTTTTTTAGAAGTTATCGCTGAGATCCCGGTTGGTGTGGTCTGACAAGATCAATATGCGCGGTTACTCCATCAATTTCGTTTGCCTCACCTCTCGGAATCCTACTAAGCTCGCCAAGAATACGCCACTCCACAGTTGCGACTTCTTCCAGTACAAGTTATGGTTCGATGACGATTCAGAAGGACTTCGGATTGTAATGGGAAGATGGTCTTGAGGATTGTGCTCATAGGGATTTGCCGTCGGTATGGTGGGTAGTTCAAGCCCGTCTTATGAGGTGCAGTAACTGACAGCTTTCAACAGAAGAAAGACAAGATGTGCTTACAGGCTACAGGCATTCAATACGGGAGAAAGGGTAGGGATATGTTCACTATGTGTTAACCAGTGATCGGTGAGGCATAATTGTGCTCTAAGTATATTTCGTCTGCTGTCGTTTCTGCCTGACTGCCCAGATTTCTTTTTTCTTGTGGTGCAAAGGCGACCACCGCGAGGCTACCCGAGACGAGAAGCACCGATGGAAGAATTAGGATGTCTATAGTCGTTCTAATTGTGTGATGGGAACTGATGTGTTGATGATGGTGATTTTTCCATGGCGCAGGTGAAGTTCCAGTTTTCAAGTTCGTTGATTGTGCGTCTTATTTTATCGCTCTTTTCTATATTGTGTTCGGCTCATTAATTCCTTACAGATGCTATCAGATACCTTCAGTCCATTACAATTGGACCGTCTAGAGTGCCCTTCTACCTCGTCGTGTATGCCATCTTCGCCATCTCATCGAGTTCATCCCAAATGCTGTATCGCCAACGTTCAGTTCACGTCAGTGTTCCCGCAAAATATTCGATCTCGTATTCCTTTCGATCTATCTTTATCTTAAACTCTTCTCCATCAGAGCCGTCGACGTCTTCCTACGCCTTCACGTAGCGCAAGCTACTTTCGAAGGACGAGTCTCGCCATTTGCAACTACCGGTTGTGGTATGGGTTATATCCTTCCCACGGGCCTGTCATCGATTATCCCTTCTCGATTATGTGCATACACAAAGACGAGCCTCCATGCGGCCACACACGGGCCTGTCTTATCGATGCTTGGACCTTGCCGCCTGGCACTTTCGTGGTATCAAACCAATGTCAAATGGTTGTCTTCGCTCTCCAAACAGCGGTATCATGCACGCTGTTTTCCCGATCTTCGAATCGTGCATGCTAGTATTCTTTTCCCATTAGACAACCATTACCAAACACCCCCACTCCTATGTATACTATTCATACCACCTGGATTTCATCGCCTCCGTGCTCCAAACTTTCAAGTCTCTACATGATATTGCCGCTTGCCTTTCGTTGGACCCTCCTGATCTCTATGTATATTTTGCATCGCTACTCTCGTTTCTCTCTCCATAGCCATCACAGATCGCTTTTATGCGGCCACTCTAATCTCCTTCAGCATCGTTACCGAACAAAGATCCTCGTGCATAGATTCCAGGGTGTTTCGGGATTGATGACGTGGCAGTTGATCAGTGCAAGGATGACGGGGGACAGGGAGGACGTAGGACGATAATGAGTGTAACGAGCGAGGCTGGATCATATCGACGTGGGTGTCCGTGAGACTGCGCGTTAGGTTTGGAGTGAAGAGCGTGCTTGATGGCTTTGTGCGCGCGAAGGGAACGAAACAATGTCGAAGCAAATCGTCCTATCGAGGATGATCGGTCGGACCTCCCTCGAATTCGGCCAACGTTGATATCAACCATTTCTCAGGATATCCAATTTGCGAAAGGAGTTCTCGTGTTTGAAGTCCTTATACTGCGGCAGCGCATCAGTACCTTCCCCCTTTCCCGAATAAGCACGACGGCTCTCGCTTCAGCTGAAACGCTCACAATGCAATTCCGATGCGCACCAGGGCAGAAAAGTGTTGCGGGACGACACAAGTACCTGATGTCAACCTTATATAAGCATAGACAGTTTTGTCCTGAGTCGACGGTCAATTGCCTTTAAGCAATTGA